ATATATATATTTATTAGTTAATGTATTGTAATTATTACAACTTTTCTAGGGGCTACATTATCACTACCCCTCGCCAGTGGATTACAGGGGACAAGAGTAAAGTGTGCATCTTCCTGACAGACAACACACCAGCAAGCCCTATCACTGTTCACCTCACCAATGCCAAATTCTTAGAAGAGGAAGAAGCCATATTGCCATACATATTGCTTAATGTCCCTGTTGGTGAGTTAGTGTGGGCAGCTGTTGACAGTGCCAAGAGGCTCAGTTTATTGCTATTACTGTATTCTGTAAATTTAATGAAGGGTATTTTTGCTTTTACACACTGCACATTCCTACCACTAATCTATTATCATATTCTAATAAGACGTCTAATTATAAGGTAATTTTCATCTATTACACTACTGGCGGGAATGTATAATAACGGAAATAGCATTTCCAAAATTTTCTCTATTTTCTTTCATTAATCTTCCGCCATTATCGCCTGCCTCACCTCCAACAGTGCGTGTCTCCTGCTTCTCCTTCATAAATCATCATGCATATGCGTTCCCGTACACGTCACACGGCCAATCAAAAGCGTTTTTGTTTTTACAACCAATTAAAATGATTTTGGGTTTAATTCGGGGTATATTTGGCCCAATCAAATTTGAGTTTTATTTTGGGTCTCCTATTTCAAAATTCAAGTTCAGTTCTGACCATGGAAGTCTGCGATGGGTGTCACTTAAATTATATGGAGCTGATTGCGAGTTTTTTCGAAGAAAACGAAGAAACTACAGTATATCATTTTTTTTGATCGCATGGTGTTCTTCCAACCTCAGTCAAGTGTACTAAGAGCAAGACTGAATGTAAATATCACAAAGACCAACATATGTGACGTTGTGTAAGGATCTCGGAATCCAATGACGAACAAGAACCAGGCCAATAAGGTAAGAAATAGGCGATTCCATCATATGGTGGGAGTCGGTTAGGTTAGGTTTTAGTTTTTCTAGTGTTTTTGGTGTAATTTGCCATGATTTTTTTTTTTGAAAACGTCCAACGAAAAAAAATCGAAAAAAAGGCTAATTTCCGCGAGGAATGAAGGTCATATTCGGTCTAAACACACACAAATATACTAGAAAAGTATATTTTTGACTTTCTAACAGAGTGCTGTGTGACAGTGCAAATTTACCTAATGAAGTTTGGCTCTTACTGATAGCTATGGTAGCTGGTCGCTGGTATGAGGAATGTAGCAAGTTATCAGGAAAAAGCTATGCAAAGTACTGTATCTTGAAAAGCCTTTCTACATGAAAACCAATAGTCACAAAAACCCAGCTCTTGCAAGTGAACATGAACATAAAGGTCAGCTTCTCAATACTGTACTGTATTTCTCAGTTATGGTTATTGATAAGTGTTATGCAAACAGAAGGCTAATTCAAAATTTTCCCTATACAGGTACTGTATAGGGTGGGGATGTACTTAGCATAAATGGTAATGATAGCAACAAGCACAATGCATGCTTCTTAGGGCTTGTTTTGCACCTGGCGAATTACTTGCGTACCTTAACTTTTTTTTTTTTTGCCACTGATTGGCTCGGATGATACTTCATGCGTCTGACCCACATTAGAGTAATTGTAATATAAGGAGAGGACAGTTACCGTAGTAAAAGGTCTTAGAGCAGACATGGAGTGATTACGTGGGTAAATGTGGATTACATTTATTTTTTTTTTTTACTGGGATTTGCCCACCCAGGCACAGGTCACTGACCCACATCGGGGCCTAGGGGACAAAAATGTAATAATAATAATAATAATAATATTATTATTATTATTATTATTAATAAAGAACCATAAAGAAATACAAAATAAAAAAAAATAAAAAGTGAGAAACATTATACAGTATGTATGTTGTGTTGTCAATATTAAGAGAAACAATTGAGACCCTGCAATTGTGTGTAAATGAGGCAGAAAGTCAGATAAGCAACCTGGGACTTGGTCACAATTTTTGTGATGTCATGTGGCAGCAGGATCTACCATAAACAACACCTTATGCTTCCAATATCTTCCCAGGCGGTAGTACCTCCCTGTTTGGTAGCTGCCTAATACCTACTACCTACCATGATTGCGCGATTCTAAAGAACACCTATATGGTAATAGTAAAGGTAGATTAACTGCACCTGACTGGTAGGTCACTAATCCTGGTGCACCGATGACAAGTGGCCTGTCTAAGTACGGTACTGTAATACAGTACAAGTACAATAATATCTCCATTAGCCAGAATCCCTCGAACCCGGAACTCTCCGATAGCTGGAATTTAAATTTTCTCGGGAAAATCGTTCCCAAAACCGGAATTTTCTGGAAAATTCCAGCTTTGGGAACAATTTTCCGAGGGGCACATTTTCCAGAAAGTAACGAGAATTTTCCCGATGCCCGAAAAATTCCGGGATGGGGGATTTTTTCCGGGTTCTAGAGATGATATAATGGGCAACTTCTGGAACTTCCAAGAACATATTTCTGTTACCTGAAAAATTCCGGGGATAAGGGATTTATTTTCCGGCTTTGAGAGAGTCGTCTCATTACCCGGAAATCTCTCATTCCTGGAAGTGTTCTGCACCAATTGTTCCGGCTAACAGAGATATTACTGTACAGTAGTGTATACCAGTACCCAGGAAAATGCAACATACTGTACATGTGATCATGTGATGAATTTAAGTTTGTTTGATAAGTACATCTCTGAATAAAGGTGTAGTTTTTTATGGTTATTTTAACTGGTAGATTGCATTAACAGATAACTACAGTATACAGTTGTATCCCACTTTACGCGGTCAATTGAACCCACAGGGTACCGCGTTCAGTGAACAACAGAACATATGGGATTAATTCCAATAGAGACTGGCCCGGCCCCCAAACTCCACCTTTTAACGACACACAACTATGTTGTAGTAAAAATTTTATATTAACTTTATGATGGTATGAACAAACAAGTAATATAGAAGAGGTTAGGTTAGGACAAATAAAGGTTAGGTTAGGAAAAATAAAAGTTAGGTGTAACACTTACGTTAGTAGAAGACACACTGCGCAACCTTACAGCGCGGCTTGCCCAGGCGGAGGGAGGCGGGAGGGGAGGGAGGAGGAGGAGGAGGAGGAGGAGGAGGAGGAGGAGGAGGAGAGGCAGGCAGGCAGGCGGGAGCGGGTGGCGGGTGGGGCGAATCTAAAAATAGCGTCTCGAGCCAGATACTCTGCGCGTATATGGGTAGATGAACCGCGTTAAGTGAAAGTTCGGTTCTGGCGAGGCACTGCGTATATGAGAAATCGCCTTAAGTGAAACCGCGTAAAGCGGGGTACAACTGTACTGTAATTACCCCATGTTTGGTCTACACTCTGTTAGCACCATACACATCCTGAAAGAAAGGATAACCTTAAGAGAACAAGTACGTAATAGGTAAGTATTAATGCATCCAATAACAGCAACTGTAATTACCATTTGATAACTGGAATCTCAGCAACCAACACTAAAAAAATGTGGCCCAAATTTCGAGGGGGAAACCAAATTATAATTTTTAAAACCATAGTTTAACTAATGTTTCTTAGCTTTTTTGACTAGACAGTACTGTTGTTATGAACAGCAAGGACTGTCACTAGCTCGCATTGCCCTCCATAAGTTAGTGGCAGTAAGCGTTGGCCAGTGAGAAGGTATAGCAACCTTGTCTTGGAGAATCTTTGTAGGACATTCTTGGTGATTGATGTTGAAGGGTAGCTAGGTGTATTGAAATAGTATAGTGTAAGGAGATGCGTTCATCCACATATATTTGAAGTCTGGTAGTGGGATGTAACTGTGCCACTCATGTTCAACACCTCCTTCCACTAAGCCAATGATTACTATGACCCAATACATGTACAGTATACTAAATATAGCTTCTACAGTACTCTTCTTTTCCACAGACTTGAGCAAGTCTTCTTATCAGCCCCATTAGTTGCTTGTAGTTTAATTTGATTTTACAGGTACAGTATTCATATTGGATGATTAGGATACCAACATTGTTCTTTCAGTTTTTCTTTGGTGATTAGTATTGCAAAAATGAAGTGGTATATTTTCCCAATCCAGAAATGTAATTACTAATACACTATCACTATTTTCATTTTCTCCTGGTAGTCTTGGCATTTACTAGATTGTTACAGAATTCTTGGAGTGTAGTGATAATCTTATCTGAAATGCAAACACTTATCTTGTTTATTACTTAGAGAAAAATGGAAACCTCTTTAGATATATTCATTTACTACAGGTCAAAGGTCATGGTGCAAGGAGATAGATGTACCGCTGACGAAGTACCACAGTGGGAGGTTAATGGTGGTGGGTCAGCTGGGTGGAACACTGGTTAACCACACAGCCACTATCAACCTCAAACCCACCACATCTATCACCTTTATTCAGACAGACAAGTCCCTGTATTTGCCAGGCCAGACAGTCCAATTCAGGATCCTCACTATTTCTGGGCCCTTCATGCTGGTCTCCACTGAGAAGGTAAGACCATCTCTTGGCCTTTCTTGCAAATCTTTGTCCACAGAGCAAGACCATCTTTGGATCTTTCACATAGGGTAAGACCAGGTCCAACACTACCACCATTGTATATTGAGATCACTGTGGAGATTAGCCCTGGCTTTTTTCACTTGATCAAACCCCCTCATGCTATTTGAGGGGCCATGTTAGATTAAAGGTAGGCTGGTTTATCTCGCGGATTCGCCAGGCAAGAAGATGACGATAGCATTGCATGTGATGGAGGGTACGGCAGGGGGTTTTGAGAATTGCAATTAAATGCCAGGTAGTGACGTGTCCTAATATGTATTTAAGTAATTATTAGGTGTTTTATATACCTATATGTTGGCCTGGCGAGTTAATGCTAGGCATTTACATACCTAGGTATAAAGCTAGATGTTGCATTCTGGACTTCATCACAAAAACTGGTTTTTAGAAAAATTTATTTATTTATTTTTTACTTTATCTGTGCTGTGCATTGAAGTTGTGTATTGATTAATTACCTATTCTTATCTATTTATTTGTTATGGTTGTAGTTAATGTATAATCAGTAACTAAAGATTTCATTTAAAGTCGTACAACTTCCCCATTGATTATCAGTGTTATTGCCAGTTATTGCCTTTTATCAACAAGGTTTTGACTATAACAAGTGTAATTTCAAGTCGGTAACTTACAAATTTGTAGATAGAAATTGGTCTTGCAGCTTTGTATCACACACTGATGCTTGTACAGTTGCGAAGATGTTTCTGTGCCCCCTATGGTAACCCTTGTCTCCAAATGGCAACGTTGCAATAGTAGTATCGCCGTTTATGAATGAATGGATATTGGTCGTGTAACGATGGACATGAGTGGTAGATAGGTTTGCTATAGGTCATTTAGGTGAGCTGTTTTGTGACACGGGTTACCACGAGGGAAAGGAACACCTTTCTGTAACTGTACATTGTACAGTCTTTTATCGGCACAATTACTGTACAGTACTTTAATTAGGGTACCATAAATGTTACTTGCAGCAGATTATTTGCCTTGCAACCACAACCATACTTCTGTACTTACATGGTCTATTGCTTTCGTTATCAATGTACAGTAATGCTGTAACTTTTATCATATTGAGGTTTTATAAGGTTATCCATAAAGAACAATTGATGTAACATGTTTATCCACCAGCAGGTAACAGTGGTCATAACTAAAAATTTCTGAATTTTGACGTGTGGAGAACCATGAGGCAGAGATGGTGTTGGATTTAACATTGGTTTTTCTTCTAAAGTACCCCATTGTATGGGTTACTACACCCTCCGATACCCGCGTGGCACAGTGGACCGATGTGGACAATTCAGATGGCCTGGTCCACCTATCTCTTCAGCTTGCTGATGAACCTGAGCAGGTGACCCCACTCTTCCAGCAATAGTTGCCTGGACTTTACTTACGAGTAGATGCTCTTTTATTATTTGAAAATACAAAGGAAATGGAATACATTATCTATACTGTATAAGGAAAATATTACATTAAAAATTAATTTCTATTACATATTCCTTCATGAAACCCTTTAGATTACATTAAGTGCAGTTGACATGATAGTTAAAACTGCAGTATATTCACTTTTTACTTTTTCTACATCTTCCATGTAGGGTCATTATAATATCCATGTGGAGACAGTGCAGGGCACCAAACACTTCTACAGTTTCAACGTGCAGGAGTATGTCTTGCCACGCTTTGAAGTGGAGGTGACTACGGATAAGTATTTCTTGGCTACAGACGTGCATTTTGCCTTCACTGTTTGTGCAAGGTGAGTTTTGAAAGTTTTCATGAAAACGCATAGTTATTTTTTGTTTTTTTAAATATTGTACTTTTATTTATTTATTTTTCCATTATTTAAGGATTATCTGCTTAATCATTGGTGGTGTTGGCAGGTATACATTTGGGCAGCCAGTGAAGGGCAGAGTGATTTTGAAGGTGGACAATAACCAAAACCGGAAGTGCTTATTTAGCACCATGAGGACGAGCCCGGTCAGTATACAGTACCTCTTTCTAACCTCCCTCATAATTACATTTCACTTCCCATATCCAGGACCGGATGAAGGGTCTTGTGGGCCTGGGGCTAATTAAGTTCAGAAGACCTTTCTCAGGCTGTTTGTATTGGCTAGAGCAGGCATAGGCAACCCGCAGCCCATGGGCTGCATGTGGCCAGAATTGAGTGAGAAATTCTATTTAATGTGGCCCGCTGTTCAGGTAGATGCAGCCAGTTTATGGTGAGTAAAGCAATATTTGTTAAAAGAATAATCTTTACACACAATTCATTACCGTTTCATCGCCCAAGAGTAAGTACAGTAACTAAGAAAATGTAGTGGTGAAATAAGTATAAGTTGTTTTACGGGCCAAGTTCGATGCGGTCTGTCTGATGGACTAGCTGCTATGTGGAATTAACTAAGGTTGGGAAAGTCCAAATGGGTTCATGGGTGTTGGTCACACGGGTCCAAGGTAAAGGTCTCTTCCTTGTTGACACTGTCTCCATAGTACCTCATCCTTCATGCCTGGCTGTCTGTTTTATCAACTGTATTTAGTTTTATCAGATTAGGTCTCTCCATGGGCATATATGTTGTTTCATTGTAGTTCATGTGCCAAGATTAATTTTGACATTATTCTGGTGGGTGTCTCATAAGGAAAATGATGAAACTGTAGGAAAAATTGATTTATTCAGACTCGCTCATCTTCTGTTAAATGCCAAGAAACATTTACATTTTATTACAAAAATTATGATGGATTTGTTTCATAAATGGGTAAAAGACGAATTGTAGACCGAAAATATCATAAGGTGGATGTGACGCTAAACCTTTTCATTGTCTGTGCTAATACAATATCATTACTTTTGGGTTGGGTAAGATATAAAGTTTGGTGGGTTGGCCCACAGAAAAATACCTAAATAGTAATGTGGCCCATGACTGAGGAAAGTTTGCCCATGCCTGGGCTAGAGTATATAGGCTAATATGTCTGTATGTATGCATGAATGTATAATATATATGTATGTATGAATATATGCTTATTTGTATATTTTAAGCTTTATATCTTCGTTATTAGGGCTACTAAACACTGTAAACACATGCAGTCCCCCATTTAGTGACAATATTATCACCAATCACAACACTAGCTTTTTACATGTACTGTATATAATTATGGCAGTACGTAATTGATTTTTAGTTTACATATCTATTACAATTTCGGCAATACGTATACACTATCATTAGCGAGTGTTATCAGTTATAAACTTCTATTTTATAAGTATTTTATCATTTGAAAATGAGACGCTTGCTCTCGGCTAAAAGACCATAAACAAACTCCAGTCTCCTGCGACTGAGAAGCTCAAAACCTTCATACTTTGGCCAATAGCATCAGACTTGTGTCAAGAGCCAGTCACAGCTTAAGAAGTCTTCACCTATTTGATAACCCCAAGGCGGGAATACTCTCTTCCCCAAGGCGGTGAATTTGAACATCAGCAGCGCAAAATATAAACCATAATGAGATCTAAAATAATAATCGCCAGCCGGAAAAGCTCTAATATTTCAACTCGCCTGCCAGGATTTTTTATCGCCTGTGGGCCCATTTTTCTAGTGGGCCTGGGGTTACAGCCCCTTTAGTAATCTGCCCTTGACCATACCAGCTTATGTGCACTGCTTTTAAAAGTTTTTCACTAAAATATTGGAAACCTGGGTTTTGAAAAGTATAGATGTAAAATGCTTTTGAAAAGGGAACATGCAATTTAGGCCACATCTCCTAATTACATTAAATAAACTCTACTGTATCATCTTCACCACTGATAGGCCTGTTAGCTGCTTGGGCGGTCAGTCATGTCTGTTACACTGTTGGCAAGTGTTAGACATGTATAGTATCTCAAAGTATGTCCACATTGTGTGAAGCATCGAGACCATGGATGATATACAGTATATATTGGGAAATGCATTTACTTTGGTACTGTATATAGTTTGGTATGTAGTTTAACATAAGTAATGCAATGTGTATTTATTTCGGCATAATTATGATATTCGGTTACCAAATGTAGTAGGATCGATGTACCACATTCCTGCATACCAACCCTTCTGGGACATTGCAAGTTGCATTGTAGCATTTTGGAAGTCCTCGGACCCATCTTGGCAGATAATCCCCCATACTGTACTGTTGCCTCCATTTATAATGGGTACATTGTCTGGTGTGTTAACTCCGGGCTCCCTATTGGACCTGGTCAGTTACATACAGGCATTACTGGTTCATTATTGATTCTTACAATAAGCAAAACAATGGTAAACAAAACCCAAAATCCCACAATTAATGTTTTTCTCTACTGATAGAAGAGGGTTGTTCTTCACCATGTGGAAAAATAGTGATTAGAGAAAATCTAAGTAGATTATATATTGCCATTTATTTTACAGCGGCTTTGTTAGACCCTAGGCCCACCATAATTCTAAGGAACTGTAATTGCTGCTTTGCTTAAAAATGTATGTCTACTTTTGTTTTACCTAACCTTGTTTACCTAATGGCGACCCACTAAAGGTACCTAAAAGGAGGCTAGTGGCCTGTGTAGGATCCTCCCATTGCAGTAATTGGATGATCAGATTATCACTACCTTGGCATTTTTGTGCAGACCATTTTGACATTATGAAAATAAATTTAGACTGCAAGGATATTCATTGCTTTAGTGTACAGTATTTAACTGGGACTATGAATGAGATTCCTTACGGAATACAGTATAGTCTCGATTTACGTGGATTTCCTTTACCTGGTTGGTCATTTATGCGGCTTCTGGCCAGACCGGCAATTATTAGTTACGGGATACATCCCATCATTACACAGGAAGCGGCCCGGGCAGGGTGCGCGCTAGGTCGCCCAGTTAACAAAACATTACCGAGTTCTTCACCCACCACAGCCAGCTTGAGTCAGTGATAGTGAGGATATGGACTTTGAGGGGTTTGACAAAGAGGCCCTGCCAGCCTCTGTGGTGGGTAGTGATACAGGTGGTAAAAGTGATACAGGTGAGGGCCAATAATCTGCCCTCTGCCTCGTAACCAACCCCCCATCCCCGTGTGCCCAGCCATCTCTTCTACTAACGTAAGTGTTAAAAAACCTAATATTATTGATATTTCTCTTGAATATTAATTGTGTGTGCATACCATCATAAAATTAAGATGTTACTTTTACAACAACATACGTATTGTCGGAAAAAGGGTAGTCTGGGGGTCGGCCCAGTCTCTATTTCAATTAATCCCTGTTCTGTTACTTCGTTTACGCGTTTCTTGTTTTACGCGGACCTCCACGGGTTTAATTGAGCGTAAACCGAGACTATACTGTATTACTTTTATTTGTATCCTCTTTGCCACCGATTGGCTCCTTGGCTGCTTAGGTGGTTGATCATGTCTCCTGAATGTATCTGGACCTGTTCCAGTGTTGGTCAAGTCTGATCTTGAAAGCAATCAGACTCGGTACTATCACAACACTCTCTTAGAGGTTGTTCCAAGAGTTCACTCAAAAAAAGTTTGCCCTCACAGCTGGTTCATGTAACTAAGAGAATGATTTTCCAATGTACATACTTGTACCAGCAGTGAGACACAGTACTTTGATATAAGTCTGTGATGACACATTGTATTATGAGTCAGACATTTCATTTCACCCACTGGCTGAACTAGTGACAACATGCAACCCCTATAGTCTACTAACGAACTAAATTTTTCGGACCATTGCGGGAAGGTGAATCAAGTGCCTAAGCTAGTGGGTCTTATAAGAAGGTCGTTCATATTCCTAAATGGTCCATCCCTCATGACGCTCTTCAAAAGTGAGGTGCTGCCCTGTTTGGAGTATGGACTACCCCCCATCTGGTCCATGAAATATGGTAAGAGACTGTCAGTTGATGGAAAACCTCCAAAGGAGCACCATCAGACTGGCCTCGGTACTACAGTACCTCAGTTACCCAGAGATTAGAACCCCTGGAATTGCATAGCTTATACTACAGGCAGGCAAGTCTATAAACACCTCGGAGAACATTACTCGGTTGAGTGTCCATATCTGGAGCTGGCAGATGCCCGTTCCACTAGAGGTCACAGCTTAACCCTTCTGCCCCTGTTGACATTCCGGAACGCCAGACCAGCAAGCCCCGGGTGACGTTCCAGACCGCGCTCCTTTTCCCGCCACTGTTTAAATGCCCAGCGTAGGTTATCAGGTTCTAGTGCGACTATTTGCCTGTCACACCACACACTTGGCCACAGGGAAGCTTCCTGAACATAATTACTTACTTTAGTTTTTCATTTTCATGGTTTGTCCATTTATCATGCATCAAAGTATTAGTGTTGCTAAAAGTAGTGTAGTTGTATTGTTGTGTAGTATTACTGGAAAATAATGCTATGATTGTTATAAATGTATTTATTTGTGGAATAATTATTTTATTCATTACTTGCTCAACCAAACACAAAGACCTCCAGACAGCCTGGCGACCAACTGCGAGTGTGTTGCTGAGCACTTTTTATGAAAAATAATGCAAATAAAATAATCTAAATTTATAATTTATAGCAAATGGGTATTATCAGTAAATATATGCATTACTGGCAATCCTGGACACAAAGGCAAACTAAAAATAGCTGCTAAGTGCATAGGTGACCACTAGTGCTTGCTGTCCAGAAACTGTCCACTTATCTCCCTCCCTCTCTGCACTACCAGGGAAGTTTCTAGAGGGTCAATAGGGGGGGGGGGGGTATGCCCAGTGGCACCCTAACCCTGGGCTTATGGGTTAAAGGTTGAAGCCACAAGTTCAGAAAATTGTCAGGACAAACTTTTTGCAGTGAGTATTGTGAACTCGTGGAACAATCTGCCACAGAATGTTGTGACTGCACTGAGTGTGAGGTCATTCAAGACCAGACTTGACTAACACAGGTACAGATATCCAGGAACCAAGCAAAGTCAGTGTAGAAGGGTTGAAGAGGAGTTCCAAGAGGCTGATTGCAAGCGAGGTTAAGTCAAACCCAAGGGTGTTTTACTGCTACGCTAAGTCAAAATTAAAAATGCCATTAGGAGTATCGGACCGGAGGCTTGAAGATGGTAGTTACACAGATTCTGACCGACAAACCGGAGGCGTTGAACAGTTTCTTTTCCTTGGTGTTCACAAGGGAGGATGTGAACAATCTTACTGTGTTTGAGGACAGACGGTTCGACACACCGCTGACCCACAGTGTTATCGGAAGAGGTTGTAAGAAATAAATTGTCAGAAGCTAAAGGTTCAAAAGAGTCCTGGCTCTGACCTGGTGCATTCCAGAGTACTAAGGAGTTTGCCGAGCTCTTGAAGATCCTGTTCCGTAAATGCCTGGATGAGCAAAAAGCACCCAGAGATTGGGAAATGGCTTCTGCGAGTCCTATTTTCAAGAAAGGCGATAAACACTCCATGAATAACTATAGACCAGTGAGCCTGACCATCTACTATAAAACGACCTTGTAAAGGATTGCCAACACTGTTTTATGCCAGGATGCTCCTGCATAACAAAATTACTCAAGATAATGGATGTTTGGACCTGAATTCTGGAACAGGGTAGTAATATCGACAATATATACTTAGATTTTGCCAAGGCTTTTGGCGGCGTACCCCAAGAGACTAAAAATTAAACTGGAAAGGTACGGGATTCGGGGAAGTGTTCTAGAGTGGCTCGGAAACTTTCTCTATGATCGCAAGCAGTGTGTGGTGTTTAATGGTACAAAATAGTCGTGTGTACCCATTACAAGCGGAGTACCACAGGGCCCACTGTTGTTTGTTTGCTTCATTAATGACATGTCTGAGGCAGTTATTTAGGGAAATTAAGAACCAAGCAGATTGTGAATAGCTGCAGAAAGATCTGAGCTTTAAGAATGGTCAAAGATGTGGCTGCTGAGATACAATGTCACGAAGTGTAAGAGGATGCACCTGGGACAACAATGGTAAGGAGGCGTATCATATGTCCCAACGGGACAAAGAAACTGCATTACTAGAGACTGAATACGAAAAGGACCTGGGTGTGTATATTGATAATGAACTGAAGTTCTCGGGCCATTGTGAGAAAGTGAACCAAGCAACTACAGTAAATTATTAGGTCTGATAAGAAGGTTGTTCAGATATCTAGACGAACCATCCCTCGGAACAATCTTCAAGAGCGAGGTGCTTCCCCGCCTGGAGTATTGTCACCCTGTCTGGTGCCCGGGATATGCTAGGGATTGTCAGTTGAAAAATGTCCAGAGGGCCATCAGACTGGTGCTGGCACTTCAGCTATACGGAAAGATTTAGAGCACTCAAAGGGCACCTGGAGCTGGTAGACGCTCACCCCACAGGGGGTCACAGTTCAAGGTTGAAGAAGCCGCAAGTCCAGAAAACTGTGAGGGCTAACTTTTTCGGATGAGAGGTGTGAACTCGTGGAACAACCTGCCAGAGTGTGTTGTGACTGCACCGAGTGTAAGCGGTTTCAAGATCAGACTTGACCAGCACTGTAGCAGGTTCAATACATTGAGCCAATGCATGCCCAGTACTTGCCAACAGTGTGTAACAGAGACGTGACCGATCGCCCAAGCGGCTAGATGGGCCGATCAGTGGTGAAGAGGATAAAAGTAAAGTAAAATAAATATCCTCGAACCAGTACTGTACTTGTCAACAGTTATAACTGACATAACCTTCCATCCAAGCTGCTAACGAGCTGATTGGTAACAAAAGGATAAAGCATTTGGGCTATTTATAAATCCCTGAAGGAGGTATGGAACATATTATATTTGGAATGTAAATAAATTTTTATTTAGTTTCAAAGCTATAGTTAATCAATTTCTGGTGGGGAGTTATAAAAGTTAATTCAATTTACCCCATTGTAAATTCTACTAATTTTTGTGGTAGATTTCTGGGTGCAAGACCTTCCAAGTGAGTGCAGTAGAGGTGAAGGTGGTTGACTGCCAGGTGTACTTGCTCACAGCGCAGGCCAACGTGACCGAGGATGGCACTGGGGTGAATCTGATGGGAAAAAAAAGTGTCCAGGTCTTTCGCACTGCTGTCACCTTGACTCCTGTCTATGAGGATGAATACATGAAACCTAACCTTCCCTTTACTCTTCAGGCAAGTAAAGAAGTCTTATAATTGTAGGGAATACATACCAGTATGTAGTTACAGTAATTTGATGTATTACATGTCAAGTTAACAATGACCATGCCACAAAAATAGTTTTAATATTTATGCTAACCTACACGAGTAGATATGTTGAGTTTTCACAGAATTTCGAGTTATACAAAGAGATTGCTTTAAATTTGATGTGCAAGGTCTTGCAAGCCACAAATCTACAGATGAGCACATTGGTCAATAGGAAATGGAAAATTTTGTCCAATTTGGCAGCTTTTTAACATGAGTAGCATTGTATAGTACTGTAAATTACTGTACTGTGTGATATATAGTCAGGATTGATAAGCCAAACAATATTATCAAAATTTTTGAAGGAATAATGGAATACTGTACACTACTGGTAGTGATCAGTGGTTTTAAGTGACTCGTGCAAGATAATGAGTGGAGTGCAGGTGGAAATCCAAATGTTGACAAGCTTAATTTTATCGATTCTAAATAAGCCAAGTGTAGACATTTCCCATGACTTGTCACGACATTGTGCAGGAATTTCATACAATCAAGGTGCATGGCACCACCACAATTTTCCATAGCAACTCGGGCTAAAATCTTTCATGGATAGGTATTGTGCAGTAATATTAATAGTACAGTACTGTATTTAGCCTCTACAATAAATGTATTGAACTATAACCACAGCATTTTCTTATATTTAAGTTTAAAATCTTTTGTGCAAGGTAAAAATATGTTGGTGTGCAGGTGAGAGCAGAACTACCAGACAAGTCCCCAGCATCTGGGGAGGCGGTGGAAGTATGTGCTGCTGGCAAGTGTACTGTAATGATGACCCCTGAAGATGGTATACTCACTGTCGTCCTTCCCTCTTATAACTCTAAGAAGCTGTTCGTAAGTACTGCTAACTGTAACAGATAAAATAAATAGTTCATAATCATACTTGAAACTATCAAAGTTGAATAAATGACATGGTACTTAGGAGTGTTTTCAGGTTAGGAGTTAGTACTTACTTCTAAAAAAAACCCTTCTCCTATTTATAAATAGTAGGTAAAATTTTATATTTGACTTAATTATGTTCACTTAATTTGTATTATACATGTTATAATTAAAAAATTCATTACCAATTTGTTCTGTCTTCTCTATCAGACTGGCTGCATTAGACTGTGATCACTATACTAAGTAAATAGCAGTATACAGATAGTTAATGGTCCCCTAGACTTTGCTGTGGAATAAAACAGGATTTTTTCTGTTCTGAGGGATGCTAGTACAATTGTGGTGCATTCCTAGTCCTTCCAGTCAAAAATGGGTACCTAATTTTACTAAGTGTTTGTGTGCATTACTGGCAATGCTACCTCCTGTGTATTGAATGTTTATGAATATTATAGTGTGCTGTATGCACACTGTCCTTGATGAGATCTTATGCCTATGGGACTCATTTAGTAGCAAACACTTAGTTTCACTGGACTGTTTAAGGAAATGCTAGGCCTTGTTCTATGGTCCGGTGTGCCTGTCAGTCAGTGACTGCTTCTTCCTCATGTATATCCTCTCCCAACTCGTCCACTTGTGTATTCAACTGTTGCTGCTTAATGTTCTTGCGGTTTAGTCCAGCTCATGCATTATTTATTACAGAAGTTACTGTTGTTTAAGGTCTGATTTTGGGCTGTAGGAATATAATTTATTCACTGGAAACCCCTTTTTGTGAAATTAAAAAAAGTGTTTTATGCATGGGCTGTCAGTTTGATCTAAATAACATTAATTACACGATTTGACCACTTAATTTAGTTTTGTGTAGATTTCAATAGTACACTCGCCAAAAACTTCTAGAATGTTATAAGCAGTATGCAATCTGAAAAATGAATGAAGAATGTGAAACCATTCGGAGATGACAAGCCCTCTTCTGCTCCTTCTCGCATCCATCGTGCCCAGGTGTTTGAGAACTTTTTGTTGAGTGTATATGAAGGACCTTAAAAGTCTATGGGTAAGTTTTGTCATAGAATTTAATCCATTCCTGGAAAGCATCTTAATGAGTGACTGAACTCTTGCGACATGAAGTGGTTATAACAATCATTGGAAAAATTCAATTCGATATTGTTACAGAATGGTAGTCCCAGATTGTGTCACATCATAGGTTTCCTCACTCCTGCAACAGAGTAAAGAGTAACAGTACAGTACAGTAGCACTTAAAGTGATGTTACACTAAGGTGTGCAAAACCAAAGTATCTCAAGAGTGTGGGGTTACAAATATATAAGCAAGTAAATCAATAAATAAAAGGAATAAGAAATACAGAGTAAACGAGAAAACTAATCCATTAACAAAAGGAATAAAGCCTCTGACAAGAATACATAATAAACATGAATTAAACAGAAGATAGGTTCACCAAGTATTAAATGGTTTGGAATATTCTCAACTCGGCAAGCATGAAGAGAAGTACAGGGGGTAACTTTAATTATAATTAAAGTTACACTATCAAATAGCTGTAGTTGGGTAAACAAATCAATACAATGTTAAGTAACACAAAGAAAATTATGTAACTTCACCCAGTTAATTTTCTCTTTTTCAATATTCACTTTAATAAACTAATATTCATAAATTGCCATTCTTTCACCACTGTAATATTAATATCCTTTAAGCCTAACACACACACACACACACACTATATCCTACTTTCCTCAATTCACTCACACACTCAATTTAACACAATGTATACTCAAGTTTGTCTGTACGACTTTGTGTTGAACTCCGTAGGCACGTGTCCTCCCTTCCCCAGTCACGTCAAACCTGCTTCTCTCTATCCTGTGGAGTCGCCACGTCACAGTTTTGGCGGGATTCCACGAACCAATCCCACATCTGCTTTCCAGGGGCGCCACATAATGTCACTCCCGACTCCAATTTCACAAGCTCGACCCTTACGTAGGCACAGTCCCGTTCCCACGCTTGCCCACGCGGTCTAGCTATGGTTGTTGTCATTGTTGCTGTGGTTGTTTACAATACCTCCTCTCCACTTCCAGGACTCGCGACACGTCACAATATACATAAAGTACAGTATACTCTTCTTCAAAGGGCTTTATTTACACGAGTAAAGTTGTTTCAAATCTGAACAGTCTGACTATTTACTGTATTTAGTTTTGAAAAGCCACTGCATTGTGACACTTCCAGGGCAGATCCAGGGGGGCCCTGGGGTTCTGGATCCCCCTTTTTCTCAGAAAATTCCATATTTTTTCTTTAATGCAGTATTGTACTTGGGCATTTTTGTATAGTAAAAAGTAATTACACTGAACTATTGACCTCATTATATCTTCTAAAATCAAGTGCACATGGCCTCAAAATGCCCATATTGGTTAGATTAAAAAAAAAATAAAAATCTGGAGGGAGGGGGGCTTACAGCACTCCCCAAAACCCTCCAGCTGGGTGGGCTCTTTGCTTGCCATGTTCCCCACCCACAACTTGTTGGACCCCCCTTTTTAATATTCCTGTATCTACCCCTACACTTAAATTCTCTGAACACCATTTTTTTCCCCTTTTTTGAGGTTCATCTGATGTATAAAATGTATTTAATATTCTTTTCAAGGTATGGTACTATAAAATGCAGTACAGGTACTTGCATATTTTACTTCATCTATTAATATTATAGATTCGTGTCCCATTTCGACAGATGAAAACCTTGAACTGTCGAGCAGACATGAATGAAGGCACGTTCCAAAAATACATGAAGCATTATTACTCACCCTCCAACTCCTCGTTGCTCATCTATGCCCCAGAAACACAGTTGGATTGTGTTTCTGGCCAGCCTCGCCAGCACATTTTGACAGTTTTATTCTCTGCCACCGGCCAGCCTACTGCAACCATCACTATCCAGGTGAAAATTGTGCAGTACCTTGTAATCAATTGTAAGATTGAGTGTATTGCAGGAAGATTGTTTAATTGTGTACTGTATTGGAAAAAGAGATCAAGCAAATTTATTATGGGCAGGTGGTGTCCCGGGGAATGATCCAGTATTGGAGCACACGTGAGTATGAACTTGTCAACGTAGCGCTGCCAATCAAAGAGGAAAACTTAGTGGAACCTCTCCCAGCCACTCCTAGGAATATAGTAAGGGGCTTCATCAACATACCTGTTGATCTTCCTCACTCTGCTTCTCCCTCTGTAAAGGTTTGTACTGTATTCTGTAGCAATATGTTTATTATATTGGTGGAGGCTAATTAAGTTTACAAACTGTTGTAGAGAATAGATATTCTCTGGTATGATTATTAACCAAGAATGACTTGAGCTTTTAAGTTCAGGCTGTGGCCATGTTTTTGTGCTAAGAATTATTTTGGACTTTATATGTCCTGAAACTTGAAATCACATTTGTGTCTTGGTTCTGTATTTGCATAATTAGATAAGAGATTAATTTTGTACAGTACTTGTATTGTTTTTGCGGGGTAAAATATGGTGTGGTTTCATGGTGTTGTGGTGGAACAGGTAGTGGTATGGTATACGCGGCAGGATGGAGAAATTGTGTCGGATGCACGGGAGCTGACAGTAGAGAAGTGCCTGGCAAATCCAGTAGATCTGACATGGGGGGCTACAGAGGTGCAACCTGGTGACAATGCAGTGTTCACTCTTTCATCAGAACCCAACTCGCTCTGCAGTCTTGGTGAGTAAAGAGGACTTTTCCAACTATTTAATGAAGGCTGCTTTAATGAAGTGGTAGCATAATGCAGTGGTGGCCTGAAGAGGTTAAAAGTGGATATTTACATGTATGTCTCTTTAACAGGTGTGGTGGACAAGAGCACCGAACTATTGTCAGTACGAAAAGACCCCATCACGTTGGATACCTTGTTTGATTACGTTGATGTATACAAGATCTATCCATGGATCAACTCCCAAGTCAATGATTATCTTTACTGTAGAGATCAATTTAATGTCCTGTTGCCAGTTTTGCAACCAGGTTAGTGAATAGATTTGTAATCATTCAATGCATGTTAAGACGAAGTGGTTTTTAGAATAATGTAATTTACCACCACTTATCGTCTTACTAGCTGTTTGGGTGGTTGGTTTTCATATTGGTACAGGGTGAAATCGGAGTCTGGGAAATTTGAGATGTTTGGCAGTCACACTGGATAATCCCCTTCTCTCATGTCTAGGTCAAGCAGGATTTGAACCCTTGACAAAAATGTATAAACACAGGTATGCTCACGTGCAGGTAAGGGAACAAGCGTGACATCAGCCGGTGGCGCCTCCCTGGCTATAGTTGTCTTATTTCCGGATACCATAAAGAATAAGCTTCATGGTCGTAAAGTAAATAAATATTTTGTCCATTATACTGCTACTGGGTACAGTACGCCCGGATAATTTGCGGATTTGTATTTCGTGGTCCTCTATTATTCGTGGATGACACCCTGGATGTACCCAAGAATGTCTGTGGGTTGTTTTAAAGTTGCCGGCATTTTTGCAGCCAGGACAGGGAGTCGTTCATTCTAGAGACAGTAATTTCCTTTACCTGTATCGTATATATGTGTATGAGTGTGTGTGTACACACACACACACACACACACACACACACACACACACAAAACGCATACAAATAAATAATAATGGGAAAATCCTCTCGCAAATAATCAAACAAATGTAGTATTAAAAATGTTGAATCTACCCTCAAGTACACTGTGCTTTATTAATAACAAAGCATGGAGTAGACTTGAGGGTAGACTTAACATTTTTAATAGTAAATTTGTTTGTTTACTTGTGAGGATTTCCCCGTTATGTATTATTTATTTGTATGTGTTGTGTGAGTCTACGCATACAAATATATAAATATACAGTACAGGTAAAAGGTAAAAGAAATAATTGTCCTAAGGGCAAACACACATTAAGGGAATACTGCTGTATACATTTCTTTGTCCACAAGTAAGAATGTAAACCCCCCCCGGTCAGCAAATGTTATTCGCAGATTTGGCGATTCGCGGCCATTTTCAGAACCTAACCCCTGCGAATTTGAAGGGCATGCTATACTAGTATTATGGTAAACCGTATGAAATTATATTAAAATTATTTTGAAGCCCTCGACGGCAATGAATGTATGGCTATTTTAACCCGCTAAAATCAGTGTGTGAAGAAAATTCTATATACTGTAATTGTTAATTTGTACAACTGATTATGTCTTGGGGTAAATCTACATCTTAGCAATATCTGTTGCTAGTACATTAACAATTCCTGTTCCCGGCTTCAGTTCATGCTTACAATGATAACACTAAAAGAAGCGCTCCATCACCCTTAGTTTCTCGAAAAAGTCGCAACTTGGTGTTCTTGACTTTCCTGGTTGCCGACCAGCTATACCAGTCCAGGTAGCTACTTTCTTCTTGTAACATTAATCCAAGAAATGGAAGCTGAAGAAATTTGCATGCTGTGTAACCACCCACATACCACAGTCTTTCTTCATCAGCAACATCCTCTGAGGCATATTCCTCGGTATCCACTGGCTCTACACTGGATTTTCATCATCCTCACGCTAGGTGGGTAGAGAGGCAGAGCTCTTGTTGCAGAGCTTCTTGCATTTCATTTACTGTATCATGTATACTGAATGACTTATGATTTCAAATGAGCTCTTTCCTTGCAAAGGCGAGTTCTAATTCTGTGCTTTAGGGCAACTCGTGAAGGATGATAATAACAAGCACCCATTTATCCGATACAGGCTAAAATGTATTCGACCTGTCCTGGTTTAATATAGATGTCAGGATATAAAATAAATTATATTTCACCATTATCATCTCGCATAACTTTGGTAGAGAAAGAGAAGACACCATATGCTCTTTTTGAAATTGGTGAAGATTTTTAATGCCACAAACCTTCATTGATTTTGCAGTCTTATCATTTTACCCAATTATCTGTTTTTGTTCTTATAAGCATATTCTTTAGGCATCTTTAGAAGGTTTGTGATTATTAGGAACTCTAGAATTAAATACAGTAAATCGAAGCAAAAGTATTATAAATTGGCTTGTACTTTTTGCATTTGCTTTGAAAAAGCCCTTTTTCCCAAATGTACATTTATGTCTTAGCTGTACCTGAGGACGATAATTGAACAGCCAGCCTCGCATTCATTTGTTTGACTCCATTTACACGAATACGCTTTTCTGTTAAGTGATGTTAGTTTTAAATTGCTCCCAGATCTCTGAATTACTTCACGGACACATCCACTCTGAACACAACCTTCACATTTAAACCCCGAATCTATGAAATTGTTCGTCAGTTTGGTGAGGAACCTCTGTAAACACATGAACCTCTTGTCAGATGCCACTGGAATTTTAGAGGATGAATTATCTATTCCTATATTGATGCTCTTCCATAACCTTATATTTGTTAGGGCCTAGATCACTTACAACAGCAACAACTGCCAATCCTACTGCTTCTACTCTCCCTATTAAGTCCAACAATATGTCCTTCGTCACATTTGTATCAGTTGTATTAAATTAACTGCTTCCATGGTTCTATCAATCCTCTAATCATCACACACTGGACTTACGATTTAGGTTTATAAAGAGTATGCTGGATTTACCTGGTAAATAACCACTGTACAAATTCAAAAATAAATAAATCCCCCTCATAAATCTAAAATATGGGCTTGATGCTTGTTTTACATGTGAACTGTAGTTAATTTTCTTTTCATTTTTGTAATTCGCCAGACAACTCGGCATTTCTGACAGAATTCATAAAATTTACTAATTTTAAATGCTGAAATTTTCTCCTTTTAGAAAAACATTATATTGTTAGTATTACTTTTTTCAGATCACCACTACATACATTACAAAACCAAAATACCCTGTATGTTTGTTTTTTTAAAGTGAGCATATTCATTTGGTCATGGCTTGGACGAATTACAGGAGAAGGGGTTTACGTGATCACTTGTATACTTGTTAATAGCTGATAAGACTTGTGCAGTTAAATTTGTGTTGGTATGACAATCAGTACACTAATGTTGACATAATGAACCTTTAATACATTTCCTTTACAGTATATTTAAACTAAAATGTTGTTCATTCAACAAGTAATGTTAATGATTGGGACTTGATATTGTTTCAGGTGAGAGCATAGCGATCTTACCACCATTCCGGGGGACTGACTACGACTATTACACTAACTATGTTGATGCATTAAAAATGTTTGATGTAAGTTATATTCACATATACATGTAGCCTTCATTTTATATAATGACTAAATTGACTTGATCTGCATTTATTGAATACCATATATTTTTATCCCGTTTCTATTGTGCAGATACTGTACAGTATTGGGCTTGTATATTTTTTTTTTCAGCCAGATTGTTGCATAATCTTTTGAATTTTTAAAAACTACTATATATCTGGGAACTAAGACATTTCTTTCCAGGACTCTGGTTTGTACATCTTCACTGACTTGACTGTGGAGACCAGACCATGTGAAAAGGAAGGTAATTTTTTTTCTCCTAACACTAAATTTAAGCACACAGTATTTTCTAGTGTACAATATTTCCTCTAGATTAAAATTCAATTTCAGTGGTTAGAATTTGGAAAGCTCAGGATCATTAAATACAAGAATAGAAGACCCAGAAGGTGGAGCAGAGATAAATGTTTGAAACCATAACTTTCAGCAAGGAGTAACTTTTCATTATTATTTGTAGAATGGCAGCCAGTAGTATTTCAGACGGTAGGAATTGGAGGAATGCCATTCGAAGGGTTCGATCAGGAAATCAGAAAGAAAGACCAAGATGTGCTAGCGAGCAGCGTAAGTGTGGACAGTAGTGAGGACCCAACGACCCCCAGGACAGACTTCCCAGAAACGTGGTTGTGGAGCCTCATCAAACAACCGTTAGTATGAAAATTAATTTTGGTAGTACATTACAGTATACTCTTGATTTAATGGAATCTGATTTAGCTGAAGGCATTTTTTCGTTATTTTTCCCTGGGTTTGGTGAACTAGTTCTCCAAATAGACTAATTCCATAAATACGTTCACACCTACGGAGACACTTTTTTTTTCCTTTTATCCTCTTCACCAAATGATCGACATTTTAGCCGCTTGGGCGATCGGTCACATCTCTGTTATGCACTGTTGGCAAGTACTGGGCATGCACTGGCTCCTGAATGTACAGTAACTTTCAAGATTCTTTGAACACTGGAGACAGCCTGCAACTCAAGGTCGTTTGTTTACTATAGTACTTGGTTAAAATTATGAATGAATGTAAAAGTGATCCTTGATTGGTTTCTTAGTTCCCTGTTGCTTAATTAACGGTTTGGCTTTGTTGTTTCGTATTATTTTGTACTACAATAAACAAATGACCTTGAGTTGCCAGCTGTCTCCGGCAGTGTTCGAAGATTCTTGAACGACACTGTACCTGAATCTGCTTCAGTGTTGGTCAAGTCTGGTCTTGAAAGAGCTCGCACTCGGTGCCATCACAACACTTTCTGGTAGTTTGTTCCAAGAGTTCACAACTCTCACTCCGGAAAAGTTTGCCCTACTTCAGCCTATAGTAAATGTACTAAATGTATAAAAATGATAAATGATATAAAGCAATTACCGGAAAATCTGAGAAAATGGCAAGAAAATTGCTCCAATCTTTTCGGCTCCGGGCCTGGGGACAAAGATTCCCAGCATTATGAAAGATTGCATCATGGTTAGCCCCATCCTTACATGGTTGGTGCATGGGTGGTTAAGATTAACCACATGTTTAACGCTTGATTTTTCTGCTAGGGTCTGTATAATTACTGGGTAAACATAAATATTTCTTTAAATGTACAGTACATAAAATACTACAAACGTAAAATACAGTAACAAATAAATGTAACTACGATCTGCGCTAATGAGGTGAAGGGTCAGGTGACTAGATAGGTGGTGAGATGAGGCAGTAGGTGAGGTGACTTGCCAAGACACTTAGATGGCACACACACATTAACAACACTCCTAAACTATTGTCTTATAACATTTTACTTTATAAATTATATTTTAAAATTAATTGATACATGATGGCTTGATTTGGCTACTTTTGCACTTTGACAACTGATCAGTGAATAAACCAGGGCATATGGAGATGCGTTATACACTCGTGATGTCATGAAGCTTTGCAACTGCAACCACAATGCATAAATTATCACAACCTTTACTCAAATGTACTAAGTTAATTACTAAAGTTTTCTCTATTGCAAACCCTACCTCCACCTGACATTGCAGGAGGTCAGGTCAGGTCTTCCCCCAAATTTCTTTAGCTTTAATCTTTATTAAAGACATTTTCATGTCATGAGACCTACTAATTCCCCACCCAAGAAAGGGTGAACTGACATCCCAACCCTGTAAATTCAGTTGCCTCTGAAGATGTCTTTAATAAAGACGAAAGCTAAGGTGCTCCAGTGATACTTAGTTGACCGAGAGCTCGATTTAGCGGAAATTTTGATTTTACGAACAGGGGTGGCTTGAATTAGTTCATTAAATTGAGAAAATACTATACCTACAGTAAAAAACCCATAATTCGTACCTCTCTAATTTGAAATCGGTTGTAATTTGCAATGCTTCGCCTTTACAAAATAAATATTAAAAAATTTGGGATACTGTGATTTGGTAAAATTTAGAAATACAGTACAAGTACACGACCTTTTGAAATGTTATTGTACAGGTATTAAAAAAAATTGTAATGCAGGTATCTGGAAAAATTTGGGATTATAGACTTTTCTGAATATATATGATTCATGTTGCCAAGGGATGTGATGCCCCTCTCAGTGTAAACAAAATACAGTACAGTAAGAGTCTTGTACACGTTGGTCACATTCAGTTTATGTTGGTCAGTCGTAGAGTGCACATCTATAGTGTAATGCACAAGCTTTTTCCCCACTTGTTTTGCCTTCATTGCCTAGTGTTTGAGCCATTATATCGGATAACCGTGGGCCAAGAACCTAAATCTGGTACAGAGGTACTGTACTTAGAAACCTTTAAATTTTGATGGAGCAGATAACGGGAAAGTAAGTGTGAAATAGCATACAACTCGGTCGTGTCATTTTATGGTTTTCTGATGCACTACAAGCATTTTCCTTCACCTATTTTCTGAAGATTTGGCTAGATAAGAGAAATCCCCTATCGAACAGTGGAGTCCAGATGCATATCAAATAGTGTTCAGTATTTTGATTTATTAACTTCCTCCTGGATAATGACTGGAGCTGAGTTATTAGCAGGGTGTCATAAAATGTGTGTGCCACTGCCACCACTAGATTACATCCCAATTTTATTTCTCGACCATTGACTGAATGTGGTGTAACCAAGTCGGCTTGCTAGAAATTTGATGTACTGTATATATGATGGTGTGTCAAGTCACAAAATTGACTTCCAAAGACTGCTAATCATTGTAAATAGTGATTGACAAAGAAGTACCTTTTTGCTTGCATTTTGCAATATGAACCTGGTTATTTTGCTCCCTGACTATCACTGTAGTCAAACCTGTAAAGAATAATTGTTGAGTACAGTTTCTATAAATCATTTTCTCCCTGAAATCGTGTCAGCATGTCCTCCACCTACTTGTTTATGGCATACCATTTTATCCAATGTATAAGGATCCATGGACAGGTTGAAACTAGGGACAATATTCTTTATGCTTTTTACCTTTGTCTACCCAGTAGTAATTGGGAACCTGGATGTTGATTGATTTGAGAATCGTCTTCTGGGCAAGTGCAGTTGGCGAGTTGTCTGGTATTCTAAGATTATTACTTGACGTGAGGTCATACAGCTCTTACGGTAATTAAGGGTGTGATTGTGTTGGCGATGGCTTCTACACCCTAAACAAAATCACTTCCTTGGTGCCCCTAGGGCCAGCCATACTCAGACACAAAGGTCAACTGTTCTTATGAGACCAAATAGTTTTATGTATCAAAGTGAATTTATCAAGGATAGGGTACAGTATATGCTAGTTTTTTCATTGTAGCAATATTATCCTGTGCAGATCTTCCGGCATGACCCACCTGGAAGTGAAATTGCCAGACACCATTACGGAGTGGGTGGGTAAAGCAGTGTGCGTGCACCAACAGAAGAGCATAGGTCTATCCCCTGTAGCCTCCATCACCACCTTCACTCCGTTCTTCTTGGACCTGACTCTGCCGTCTTCAGTCAAGCGTGGGGAGATCCTCCCAGTGAAGATCTCGGTCTTCAATTATTTAAACTATGATTTACCTGTATGTTCGCTTGGATATCCTTGAAGATATTATGGTGTGAATCGTTTGTTTCTTATATTCATTGAAAATGTCTATATTCACACCTCGGCCCATCTGTGCTAATTTGTGCCCCACACTAATTTACAGGTAACAGTTGAGCTAGAGAGCAACTCGGGCTACAAGATTCTGGAGGAGCCAGGTAGGGGAAGGCGTGGGCAGAGGTTATCTTGTTTGGCTGCACAGGAAAAAGTAGTCCACACAATTAAGATAGATTTTGTGGAACTAGGTGATGTAGACCTCATTGTGTCTGCTTTTGTTGACCACAACAGCCCTCTGCAGTGTGATACAGGACATGGCGACGTCAGTAGGAGGTGAGCAAAATTATTTTTAGGTATTTGGAACTACACATTTGACTTGTTTATTTTATTATGAAGGAAGTAGGCATTACTAAAAACTGCATTCTTTCAGCGATGCATTGATAAAGCCCATTAAAGTGGAAGCTGAGGGTTTTCCAAAGGAGAAGACTTGGACAAAGTACATCTGCTCGGAAGGTTGGTTATGTTTATAAAACAGTAAAAATATATTTAAGAAAATTAATCTTTTTAGTATGATGGGATGATATGTTAGAAAGTAATTTGAACTTTAGAAATATACTAACTATTTTACACAAAAAAACATTTTTCTAATGAAATAAAACATCCAAATTATTAGGGATTATTTTAATACAGTATACATTGGGGTCTCATATTCTGCGGGTCATCTCTGCATGGTTATCGCTTGGCGATTGGTTGAAATTTGACATACTTATAGTATGCATGGAAAGCCATAGGTAGTGGTATAGCATTAATTTGGTGATATTTTGCTTATTTAGGTTAATTCAACGAAAAGGGGCTCTGGGTCACTCAATTTGCCAAAAAATCTGGTACTTGAGAGATGGTGAGTGCTGGCAACATTGTTAGGGAGAGCAGGAATAAGCCAATGATACCTCTGTACTGTAAACAAGAGACTAAAATTGCTCATCTAGGATTGAGGGTTAGATTTTTTGAGGAAAATAGTGTTTTGTTAATGTTTTATTAACCCAGCACAAAGTGAACCTAAATAATATGGGAATTATGGTGAAATTGCATGCAGTTGTTATAAAGGGATTGCAGACTGCTGAGCAGGAGATATTTTATTTCAGAACTGGAAAGCAAAGAGGATTTCCTGGAGTCATGGGAGGTAGCAGGTCCTTCAGTCATTGTGAATGGATCCGAGCGAGCTTGGGTCAACGTAGTTGGGGACCTTTTGGGGCCAACACTGGAGGTTTGTTTATCATACCTGTACTTGTATTCAATTGTCAATTTGTAGAGAAAGATGCACTCTTTCACATTACAATTGGCTTGTTTTGGGGGATTAGGGCAGTTTATTCATAAAATCTTCACCAGTATAGAAATTGGAATGAATCAAATGTAATGGATATGATTTATTATGTACAGGCACTCCTCAAACTACGAAAGGGTTTTTATCGTGAAAAACTTTCCTCGGTAGATTTAAAAAAAAATAAGTTTACTTGAGTAATGTACTAAAGTATTGTAACATTTTGGGGTAGTATTTACTTTTTAAAAAGAGCTAAAAATATTTAGTGCCTTTACTTTTACTTAAGTATGGTTTTTGAATACTTTTACTACAATACAATTGAAAAAACAAAAATCATTGCATGTTACATGACCAAAATAAACAGTTTTAATGTCTGGCAAATTAATATATTTTTAATTTACCATAATAAAACAGTTGTGTTGGTGGAGAGTATGGTATGGGTGGAGTCGTGAAGGACAAGGTGTGGGTAGACACCACGCGGTCACATACCTAGAGGTCTCGTGAGATGAAGTCCGGTCATGTGGTAGTAGCCATGACAGTGGACTTTCCCTCTGACTTTCTCGTGTCCATTAGCACCTTGACTACCCAATTCATCTAGCCTACCCTCGTATTCCCCCTTCCCCATCGAATCTCTTCTTCTCCCCCACTTTTCTGTGAGACGTCAGTTGCGCTTTGCATATACAGTGGGGTATGCTATAACGAATCTAATTGGTTCTAGAACCTTGTTCGTTATAGGATTAATCCTTTCCAGGCCCCCAAATACAACCACTTAACACTGAAAAATATAATATAAAATTGTAAAAATTGTAAAAAAGTGCATAAATATGCATCTAAACCCCTGAAATAAAGAATATCATTAATACTTGTAATAAAAAAAACAATAAATTAGTAAAAAAAAAAAAAATTCATTGTAGGAGTTTCGTTCGTTATAGCATTCTCAATTTTATAGGTAAAACCGTTCGTTATAGGAATATTCGTAGTAGAATCCATTGGTTATAGCATACCCCACTGTACCTGTACCTAAAATAAATTTAAAAGAGGCTGTGATTCTAAAATGCTTTACATAATTCCATTTTGAATATAAAGTAGGTATAGATATATATGTGTGACCGAGTGTATTTAAAATTCTGCTGTAATAACCGAGTACAGAACCACTAAGTACCCCTCGCCAGCACCTGCCAGATGTTACATGGTGCGGAAAATTCAGCGAGTCTGTCACTGTCATTATGGAGGCAACAATTCTCCACAAACTTCCTCAACTGAAGGAGCTTGATGGCTGCTTAGAATGCCCAGGGGATGGAATGGAGCTACTGAAGTCTTTCCCGACAACCTGCATCTGCTTGTGATCCTCTGTTTAGTCATGCTGGGATTATTATTTAATACAACATGCCCTTATAATTTACGGGGATCAGGTTCTCAAACTAGCCGCGAATTGCCAAATCCACGAATACATGTGTATCATTTTACTTGTGTACAAAGAAATGTATATTCTCTTTGTGATTTATATATATATATATATATATATATATATATATATATATATATATATATATATATATATATATGATAACTACAAGGAAAGAAGAAAACACGGTTCCAAGGCTGTAATTCCTCTTCGGGTGAGTACAGTACACCTTGATTTGTATTACTCTCTAGTCTGTACTCACCTGAAGATGTGATACACCAGCGCAACACCGTGTTTTCTTCTTTCCTTGTGTTATCACTTACCGAATCACGCGCACCTACAGTGATTTACTTGTACAGTGACCCCTCGTTTAACGAACACCTCGGTTAACGAACTGCCTTCCAAAGGATCTTCAATTCGGTTAACGAAAAAAATCGTTACTTAATTTCTTGAACCGACCTCAACATGTTTTGCTTGCACTGGCGGGCAACCAGCTGTATCAGTCCGCCAATACATTAATCGGTTCTAGGGCTTAAATTCCTAACTATTTTAGTAAATATCAAGAAGTTTATACTTTCAATAATTTTAAAAGTTTAATATTAAATTTTTAGTCATTTTAACAATTATTGAACATAATTGAAGGTAAAGTGACTAGTTTAAAGCGCAGCATCCAGCCTCTAACACAGCAAACGGAGATAGTGTCTTATGTTTTCACTGGAGTAACATCTTGCTTGAGACTCTTCAACTAAACGCTTTCTGTGTTTCAAGCAAATTATTGTTATTTTGAAATATATTTTCATATTGACAATATATAATGCAGTGCAGTGTTGATTTAAAGAAAATAATCTTGAAATACACCAAGAGAGCTAAAATTTTATGGGTGAAATGGTGCCATGGGGTGACTTCTCTTCCACCCCAATGCCTTCTCTTCTCCCTTCTCCTCACCCCATTCTAAATCCCATCATCATCATCATCATCCAGGACTACATACACACCTCAAAGTAAGTGAACTTTCTACCATTTTTGTTAATTTAGAAATTTTGGTGAGCTGGAACCAATTACCCAAAACCCATTGAAACAATGGTTTAGGTTAATGAACTTGTTAGAGACCTTTAGACAGTTGAGTTGTTAACAAATATATATATATATATATATATATATATATATTATATATATATATATATATATATATATATATATATATATATATATATATATATATATATATATATATATATATATATATATATATATATATATATATATATATATATATATATATATATATATATATATATATATATATACACATACTACTACCCTCTTGCACACCTTCAATTTCGATTAACGAACTGCCTTCCATAAGGATCTTCAATTGTTACAAAAAAAATTCAACGAACTTCTTGAACGACCTCAACATGTTTCGCTTGCACTGACGGGCAACCAGCTTTAGTATCAGTCCGCCAATACATTAATCGGTTCTAGGGCTTAAATTCCTTATTTTTTGTAAATATCAAAAGTTATACTATTCAATAATTTTAAAAGTTTAATATTCAATTTTTTAGTCATTTTAACAATTATTGAACAAAATTAAAGGTAAAGGACTAGTTTAATGCGCATCCAGCCTCTTAACACAGCAAACAGGCGTCAGTCTCTCTCTGTTTCACTGGAGGTAACATCTTGCGAGACTCTCTTTAAACTTTTTTTCTGTGTTTCCAAGCAAATTATGGTCATTTTGAAATATATTTTATATATTGACAATATATAATGCAGTGGTTGATTTAAAAAAATAATCAGTTAAACCAGAGCTAAAATTTTATGGGTGAATGGCACCATGGGTGACTTCTTCCACCCAATGCCTTCTTCTTCCTTCTCCTCCAACCCCATTCTAAATCCATCATCATCATCATCATCCAGGAGCCTTCTACATACACACCCCAAAGTAAGTGAACTTTTCTACCATTTTTTGAATTTAGGAAATTTTCGTGAGCTGGAACCATCCAAAAACCCATTGAAACAATGGTTTCAGTTAACAACTACTTCTGACGGTTGAGTTAGAATACTGTATATATATATATATATATATATATATATATATATATATATATATATATATATATATATATATATATATATATATATATATATATATATATATATATATACATATACATATACATACAGTGACCCCTCGTTTAACGAACACCTCGGTTAACGTAATTTCGATTAACGAACTGCCTTCCATAAGGATCTTCAATTCGGTTAACGAAAAAAAATTCGGTTAACGAAGTTCTTACGAACCGACCTCAACATGTTTTCGCTTGCACTGACCGGGCAACCAGCTTTAGTATCAGTCCGCCAATACATTAATCGGTTCTAGGGCTTAAATTCCTTACTATTTTAGTAAATATCAAGAAGTTTATACTCTTCAATAATTTTAAAAGTTTAATATTCAATTTTTTAGTCATTTTAACAATTATTGAACATAATTGAAGGTAAAGTGACTAGTTTAATGGGCGGCATCCAGCCTCTTAACACAGCAAACAGGAGTTAGTCTCTCTCTGTTTTCACTGGAGGTAACATCTTGCTTGAGACTCTTCAACTAAACGCTTTTTTTCTGTGTTTCCAAGCAAATTATTGGTTATTTTGAAATATATTTTACATATTGACAATATATAATGCAGTGCAGAGTTGATTTAAAGAAAATAATCTTGAATTACACCAAGAGAGCTAAAATTTTATGGGTGAAATGGCGCCATGGGGTGACTTCTCTTCCACCCCAATGCCTTCTCTTTTTCCTTCTCCTCCACCCCCATTCCTTCTCTTTTTCCTTCTCCTCCACCCCCATTCTAAATCCCATCATCATCATCATCATCCAGGAGCCTTCTACATACACACCTCAAAGTAAGTGAACTTTTCTACCATTTTTGTTAAATTTAGGAAATTTTCAGTGAGCTGGAACCAATTACCCAAAAACCCATTGAAACAATGGTTTCGGTTAACGAATTTTTCGGAACGAATTGTGCTCGTTAACCGAGGGACCACTGTATATGTGTGTGTGTGTGTGTGTGTATATATATATATGTATGTACGGGTATATGTATGTATATGTACTGTATGTATATATGCACTATAGGAGTGCTGTAGACATCTACATCTTTTGGGGAGTGATATATTTACTGCAACCATATAAAACATTATGTAGGTACAGGTCCTACATCCTTTCTACCTTCATTGCAGTTTATGCACCAGAACCTGTTAATTTATGATCATGATCTGGCTTTCTCGTATAAAAGATTGAAGTTACTATATTTTGCTCTACTTTCAAGAGTTAGACTTGAAACTGTGACTAACAAATATTCACAAGTAACTATAATTTTCCCTAAAATTATAGCATGACAATACTCGTAGAAGACTATCGAGAACAATCGAGGGATCTCGCAAAGGGCACTGACCTTCCTTTGGCATGACCACCTCTATTTGGGATGGCGAGGAGGTAAATTAGGTAGTTATATAATTTCTTATTAAACTACAAGTTCTAGATACTAATGGTATACTCTATCAGAACTTAGGATCCCTGATCCGGATGTCTTATGGATGTGGGGAGCAGAACATGATCAACTTTGCCCCCAATATCTTCATCCTGCAGTACTTGGAGGTCTCTCAGCAAAACACACCAGAAGTTCTAAAGAAGCTCACCACCTTAATGAATACTGGTAAGCATAGTACAGGTGGTGATTAAGCTTTGTTTATGTAGGACACCTAGAAAAATCTCATAATTGAAGATTTTAGATTAAAACTTCAGACAAATCCTGAAAATCTTAATGTATTGATGTTATTTATGCAGATAAGTTAGAAGCAGAAGTGTGTGATGGATATATCTAGTCATTAAAAATAACTCGATTGGTTTTTGCAAGAATTGGAGGAATCTTGAGTACTTGTGCCTAATTATGTTTATTCACCATCCCCATAGTATACAGCAGTGGTTCTCAACCTTGTTTGCCCCATGCACCCCTTTCACCATATGTCAGAATGTCATTCCCCCCTCCTTTCCAAGATTGTCTGCCTCAAAAAGTGCATTCCAAATGATATGCATATAATACTGAAAATCCTTTATTTTTTCCATATTAGTATCAGTTCCTCCCCCCCCACCCCCCCCTGAAAACCTGAGGGGGGAAATTCCCCCCTGGTTGAGAACCCCTGGTATACAGGATGCATTCCGGAAAACCTGTATGGTAGCCAGGTACTGCATACTGTATGATAATCGAACACTGATTTCCCATAGAAACCTATGTTACAGATTAATACATCCCAGAACCACTATTCCTGGATGATACCTGCAGTTTGCCTTAATTTCATCTGATTTTATATGAAGATTCCTGCTTTTTTTTTTTACTAGTTTTAATTTTATATTTTGATTATGAATATGAATCTCTGAGCAAACAGAAAATATGTAAACACATAATGCAAATGCTCTGCTGTCAAATGAGGTATGATATAATTTCTGACAGCACCATGCTGCAGCTGTAAGCTGTCTCCTAAATGCGAGTACAGTATACTGTAGTCTCCATTTACGCGGATTTGGTTTACGCGTTTGGTCATTTACGCGGCACCATGCCAGACCGACAATTTTTATTTACGCGGTTCATTCCATCATTTACACAGGAAGCGGCGTGGGCAGGGTGCGCACAAGGTCGCCCAGTCAACAAAACATTACCGAGTTCTTTACCCACCACAGCCAGCCCAAGTCGGTGATAGTGAGGATATGGACTTTGAGGGGTTTGACATAGAGGCCCTGCAAGCCTCTGTGGTGGATAGTGATACAGGTGAGGGCCAATAATCTGCCCTCTGCCTCAGAACCAACCCCAATCCCCATGTACCCAGCCATATCTTCTACTAAGTGTTAAAAAACCTAATATTATTGATATTTCTCTTAAATATTAATTGTGTGTGCATACCATCATAAAATTAAGATGTTATTTTTACTACAACATATGTATTGTGCCGGAAAAAGGGTAGTCTGGGGTCGGCCCAGTCTCTATTTCAATTAATTCCACATGTTCTGTTATTTCGTGTACGCAGTTCTCGTTTTACGTGGACCTCCATGGGTTCAATTGGCCGCGTAAATCCAGACTATACTGTACAATAATATCTCCGTTAGCCGGAATTCCTCAAACCCGGAAATCTTCGGGTTTGAGGGATTTCAAGAAATTCCGAGTAAACATTTTCGGTACCCAAAAAATTCCAGGTATGCCGGATATTTTTCCTGGTTTGAGAGATGATGTACAGGAGGTCCCTGACTTCCAAACACTCGCTGATATAAATAGGGTTAAACTTTAAATTTACATTATTTTATTTACCGGATTTATTTTTTACTTTCATTTATTGTACAGCTAGACCCCGACTTACGACTGCTTTGACTTATGACCGTCGGGACTTACGACTGCCGAACTTACGACCGCCGGGACTTACGACCGCCGCAGTTGTGACCATTTTTTTTTCAATTTTTTTTCTTCAAATGGCGCACGCATTTTCTATACCGAAACGTTTCCAGTTAATGTAGTCTCCATGTATAATTAGAAAATTATGGGGGCCCCATGTGCATTCAGCTGACTACATTAAAGGTAAGTGCTCAGTCACACTGTATCCATTCCTCATTATTTATTACTTTTACTGTACTGTATTTCATTGTAGATTTTTTATTTAAAAAAAAATATTAATTTTTTTTTTTTATCTATGTCGGACTTACGACCATTCGGACTTACGACCTGGATTTGGGTCCCTAACCCCGTCGTAAGTCGGGGTCTAGCTGTATGTATGTATGTATATATATATGTGTATATATATATATATATATATATATATATATATATATATATATATATATATATATATATATATATATATATATATATATATATATATATATATATATAATCGGACTTACGACCATTCGGACTTACGACCTGGATTTGGGTCCCTAACCCCGTCGAAAGTCGGGGTCTAGCTATATTTTGTCATTCTACTTCTTTTGTCTTAAATTATGTGATTTTAGATGTATATCATGATTTGGATGGTATACAGGTGGGATTTTAAACATTGTTCTGCAAGATTAGTATACATATATTTGTACTTGCGTAAAAATACGATTTAAGAACGTCCTCAGGAACGGAACCTGTTCGTAACCTGGGGACTCCTTGTAATGCACGATTTCTTGAAACTTCCGAGAACATTTTTCAGTTGCCTGGAAAATCTAGGGATGAAGGATTTTTGTTCCCTCTGAGAGTCTTCTCGTTGCCTGGAAATCTTTCAATCCCAGAAGTACTCTGCACCAATTATTCTGGCTAACTGAGATATCACTGCATTTATGTACAGTCTCGTTCAAGATTCTTCGAACACTGCTGGAGACGGCTGGCAACTCGAGGTTGTTTGTTTACTGTAGTACGTAGTATATTATAATACGAAACAACAAAGCCCAACCATTAATTAAGCAACAGGGAACGAAGTAACCAATCGCCGATCACTTTTTACATTCATTCATAATTTTTACTATGTACTATAGTAAACAAATGGCCTTAGAGTTGCCAACTGTCTCCAGCAGTGTTCGAAGAATCTTGAACGAGACTGTACATATGTAGACCCTTGCCATTCACTAGTTTGCGATTCGCAATTTCGACGATTCGCGGTAAGCAGATGGTGGCTATGTTGATTAGCTTGTAATCCTTTCCCACAGCACAAGGAGTCCCCCCACGCAGCATCTCGTGTTGTACTCTCAAAACTTGTTTGTGTGAAATGGCCCTTAAAAGACTGCTTACTAGTGTCAGTGCTAGTGGAGTGAAGTGAAGTGAAGTGTAAAAGGCAGAAATCCGTGATGACCCTGACAAAGAAAGTGTTATTATTAGAGAAGTTAAAAGAGGGAACGAGTGCTGTCGCCGCTGGTCAGTTGTTTGGTGTAGGTATACAGTAGTGCACTAAGGTAGTACAGGTTGACTACCCTTTATCCGAAAACTGAAAAGCTCTGAAAACCGATTTTTTTTTTTAAACAGGGATTAGCCCATTGGGGCCTGGGGGCGAATATGTAATAGTAATAATAATTATAATAATAATTATTCATAGTAAATAAAAAATTTAATACAAAATACACCCAAATAAAATAATAATAACAATAATACTATAATAATAAAATAATAATAATTAAGACTTACAAGAATGAAAAAAAGATAAAAAGTGAGAAACACAACCTAGACTAAGAATAATTATTATTATTATTATTATTATTATTATTATTATTATTTATTAATTATTATTTATTAATTATTATTTATTAATTATTATTATTTATTATTATTTATTATTATTTATTATTATTATTTATTAATTATTATTATTTATTAATTATTATTATTTATTATTATTTATTAATTATTATTATTTATTAATTATTATTATTTATTATTATTATTATTAATTATTATTATTACTAATTATTATTATTATTATTAATTATTATTATTACTTATTATTATTACTAATTATTATTATTATTAATTATTATTATTACTAATTATTATTATTATTATTAATTATTATTATTATTATTTATTATTATTATTTATTATTATTTATTATTATTATTATTATTATTATTATTATTATTATTTATTATTATTATTATTTATTATTATTATTATTTATTATTATTATTTATTAATTATTATTTATTAATTATTATTATTTATTATTTATTATTATTTATTATTTATTATTATTATTTATTATTATTATTATTTATTATTATTATTTATTATTATTATTATTATTATTATTTATTATTATTTTATTATTTATTATTATTATTTATTATTATTATTATTATTATTATTATTATTATTATTATTATTATTATTATTATTATTATTATTATTATACTTTCGCCCCCCAGGCCCAAATGTGGGTCAGTGACTTGTGCCCAGGTGGGCTAATACACACATAAAAAAAACTAACCATTCTGTAAACCGAAAAATTCCGAATTTCGAAATGCCTCTGGCCCCAAGGATTTCGGATAAGGGATTGTCAACCTGGACTGTACAAGTTGCTATTTGCTGTTTTACCAGTTCACGCTATTTCTTGGAACCTATCCCACTCGAATGGCAAGGGTCTACTGTACAGTAATATGAAGGGTTTTCTTCTTTTGAATTTAAATTACAGTATAATGTTGTTCAGAGCAATATAAAAAATAATTTGTAGATGTGAGCTGGCACAGCTTTTTTCTGCTTTGAGATCAGAATATCTTGTCTGCCAGTATACGGAGTTAACATAAGAACATTAGAAAATAAGGAGTCTGCAATAGGCCGGTTGGCCTGTGCATGGCAGCTCCTGTCGAGTTACAACCACTCTCTATCATCCATGAATCTATTTAGCCTCCTTTCAAAACTTTCCAGTGTCCCAGCACTTACTACAAAGTTGCTAAGCTTATTCCACTCATCTACCACCCTATTTGTGAACCAGTTTCTTCCTATCTCCCTCCTAAACCAAAATTTATCGAACTTAAATTGGTTGCTACGAGTCCTATCCTGCATGGATATTATAAGAACTTTATCTATATCTCCTTTATTGATTCCTTTCACCCACTTAAATACTTCTATCATATCTCTCAGCACTCTTTGTCTTTCTAGGGAATGCAAGTTTAGTTTCTTTAATCTATTGATTTGGAAGGTTTCCAAGTCCCGGAATCATTTTCGTCATTCTTCTCTGCACCGACTCCAGTGAATTAATATCCTTTCTATAATAAGGGCACCAGAACTGAACAGCATAATAGAGGTGCGGCCTGACTAGCGCAAGATATAATTGCAATATGAACTCCACAATCTTATTACTTACACTTCTAGAGATAAAGCCTAATACTCTGTTTGCCTTTTTGTGAACATCAACACACTGTTTCGTGGCAGTCGAGAGCAGCCTGTTTCCACTCACAGTAACCAACACTTTTGCCCCAGGTGGAAGAGGTTGCCAAAATGGGGACAGGATGAAGTCAGTCTCAACAGGTTCTCCCTGCTCAAGAGACTGAACACTGTGATTTAGAGCCAGCCTCCTCATCCTGATCTTGTAATCCACTGAAAGCAGACTGACTAGTTTTCTAGGCCAAAGGTCTGGGCTTATAAGTACCCCAAAGTCTCTTTCACAAGTTGACTTCTCTAGGTTTATGTTGTTAAGGCTGTATACATTGACAGTATTTGTTCTTCCAATATTAAGTACGCTGCACTTGCTGGTGTTGAATTCCATTTGCCATTTTTCTAACCACTCCTGCAGTTTATTTAAATCCTCCTGTAGTGCATTTGCATCTTGCCCCGAATTAATCTGCCGCCCTATTTTGGTGTCATCCGCAAACTTGCTTGTCACTGCTGATCCCAGTATCTAGATCGTTTATGTAGATTATGAACAAGAGTGGGCCCAGTATTGATCCCTGGGGAACCCCACTAGTTACACAGCCCCATTCCGATTTAAGACCATCTACGCTGACCCTCTGTGTTCTATCGGTGAGCCATGATTATATCCAATTTAAAACTTTCCCCTCGATACCATGAGCCTTAACTTTTCTCAGAAGCCTCTGATGCGGTACTCTGTCAAATGCTTTGCTAAAGTCTAAGTAAATAACATCGTAATTTTTGTCATTATTTACTACTTCATAGACTTTCTTAAAAAACGTCGGCAGATTTGTTAGACCAGATTTTCCCTTTGTAAATCTGTCGAGTCGTAAATTAATTTGTTTTCTCTGAAATGCGCTCGGATGCTATTTGCTATAATTGATTCAAGAAATTTCCCCCACTGCTGACGTCAAAATAATCGGCCGGTAATTTGACGCTGATGCTCTGTCTCCCTTTTTGAATATGGGTACTACATTTGCCCGTTTCCAAAAGTCTGGCAGAACTCCTGTGTCTAATGATTTTGTAAATAAATTTACAAGCCGTCTGCAAATCTGTTCCTTACACTCTTAAAAAACTTGAGGGAAAATTTCATCCGGCCCTGGGGATTTTGTGTTCTTTAATTTATTTATCTTCTTAAGAACATCCTATTTTCTGATAGTGATATCCTTTAGTTTCTCTTCTTCATTTCGCCTAAATATCAGTTCCACCTCTGGCTTTTCCTCGTGAATTTCTTCTGTGAAAACTGACTTTAAAGGCCCCACTTTGTCCTTGGCTGTAGTTATAGCCTAAATAGAGGAGCTGCCACCAAACTTAATTGAAATGTATAGTTTGGTATAACCTTATTTGTTCACAAAGCTAAAACTTTGCTAAAAAAAATTGAGATTGGCCCTTAGGAATCATGTAAGTCTGTACAGTGCTTAGTCATTGGGGGCAGCACCATCAAAGATAGATGAAGAAAAAATAATAATTTTAATTTAGTAATAAAAAATGTCCAGTAGAACGTAAATTTGAAATTTCCTAAGTGAATCTCTCCCGTCTCAACAGGATATCAGCGCCAGCTTTTGTATCGTCGTGGAGATGGCTCCTTCAGTGCCTTTGGCAATGCCGACCCCTCAGGCTCTACTTGGCTCACTGCCTTTGTACTAAAGTCTTTTGCTCAGGCACGCCAGTATATAATAGTGAGTTTGAAGAGCTTTTCGGTATATGAATGTGTAATAAAAATTAAAAAAATGAACGTCGGGGTTTTATCTATTGTAGTCATGAAATTGTCATAGGATTGTACAGTACTGTACTTATCTGAAATTTCTGAAGTTATGGAGATAAACTTAAGTGGTAAAATGATAGATAAGCTTGCTCATATCTTTGAATACCTGTAGATGTAAAGAGTAAAATCAGATGATGAAAAATATTTGAATCCTAGTTGAATAGACATGCTTCTATAAAGCATATTGGGTAACAAGGGAATGTTCTGTACAGTATTAGGAATCAAAATACTGTACCCAATTGGGCTATAAGAGATCAATGAAAATATTGGTGGCATGGGAAAAAGCAGTCTTATATCTTGAGCCACTGTGTTTTTTGCTTGCTAAAAATTGTACTCCATTAATTTAAATATTTTTTACTAAAGGGGTAATTCAAAATTCCTTCAGATTGACGAGTCAGGACTCGATGAGACCAGCGCATGGCTGAAGATGAAACAGGGGAAGAATGGATGTTTCTTATCTGTTGGGAAGGTCATCCACAAGGACATGAAGGTGAGGCTTAGCTTAACGTGGTGGTCATGAAACATGGTAGTGTTTACATGTCGTAATATAACCCGAGATGGATCTTCTGGATTTTTAGTTAGGTACTGTAGTGGGTAGTTACGAGGTCAAAAGGCATTGGTTGATCTGGAAGGGAAGGGTGGCTTGGCCATGGTTCCCAGTCAATTTTATTGTTTTCCTCTTAAAAAAATGTGAACCTTAATAAGGAGTCGCATAAATTCGGTTGGGTCAGTCCCTTCAAAGATTGGTAAACTTTGCACATTTAGTCCAGTATGATCACATGATCTCGCTTTACATACAGAAAGGTCACAGAGTACACGTTTCCACAGTACTCGACCCCACTCTTACGTGTCTAACCCCCTGAACCGCCCTTGGGCTTGGGCTTTTTCTCTTGAGCCAACCCACCCAGCATTTGAGGAAAAAAAATTAAAAAATTAACTCCTTACCATACTTTAATGTGGCATGGAAATAAAGATTATAATATAGAACTATAAAATAAGAAAAATGATGAGCATGGGTAGGAAGTAAAATTGTGTAATGAGGCAGGAAACTATATGCATATTCTTCGTCGCCCCAAAACGCACAACTAGTTATGCTTTCTACTGCGTATCCCAAAGTTTTGCCTTGCAGGCAAAACTCCTTCGGAGATGATACGCCCTCAAAAGCAAAGCTAGTTATGGTCTTTCCTTATATGGAAAGTGGGCATAGATGAGAAACTATCCAATCACATTCGTCGATCCATACACTAGACAAGATGAGGCCTATGCATGAAAAAGGTTTTCAATAAAATCACAAATTACACATGGGATAGTAGATGTATATCACTTGAAAAATATATTGTGTATAAAATTGCCGAGTTTGAGAGGCTTTAAATGAAATCGCAATCAATACTTACGTGCATTGAACTGGGAATGTAGAAATTTCCAGCAACACCTGAAAACACTATGGGCTCTCGTTTCTAACTTGAAACTTGTAACTATCATTTCTTTGGTACCATGTCATAAGACATTGTTATTCATGACAGATGTGATAATTTTTGAGAGTACACAATATTTAGTATATTGCTATGTAGCTGATATCTTTTTAATATGGAGCGACATTTGAAAACAAATTCACGAAACCAGACGTAGTCGAAACATGGAAGCTGGTTAGTGGCGGCTCCAGACAGACAGCCTGAGTTGCGCTGCCTACTATAATTATGGTATTTGTACTATAATTTGGTGTCTGTGTACCATACACCGTGTACTATGTTCCATTATTTTGACCAGATAGGGACTTGATTGTATTTCCATGCCCGTGAAGTTAGAAAGCCCACAAATTGCAGTGAAGAATTTACTAGTACCTCTCTCTCTCTCTCTCTCTGTTTGAGTCTAACTTATGTTACCCTTATTTATTTATGGACACAGATTGGACGATGAATGGACGCAGTAACAGTGGCAAATAAAATTTTAACAAGTAATCCCTTTATATCAGCCTCTTTTATGTTCCTGTTTAAGTTTTGTATGAGACTTATGTTAATCTGTTTGTAATAATATATTTGTGTTTACTGCATCATAGCATGCACAAGTCTTCTTATATGCAGATACCATTATAATTTTGAGGAAAAATACCATAATTTTGACCGGTGTATGGTAATTTGGGCTGGCCGGCAGTGCTGTTGGCGTGGTCAGCAGTAGGCAGAGCCTAGGAGCATAACCAGTCGTGCATTTTAGGGTAACCAAGAACACGCCTTAAAACTGTGTCGGACTTGTCACACCAGCCCCGTACTCCCTATCCTTATGTGTCGTCATGGCATACACACGTCCAAGTCACTGCCCTGCTGAACTGTCGCATTGCCCAGAAGATGGTTAGTGTTTGTGCATTTAAAGTGTTCCTATGGTACATTAGGTTTAATATTTGTGTTCGGTTGTACATTTGTGTGTATGGTACCATAGGTTAAATGATTGCCAAGGTGTCCTCTCTCACACTGGTTCCATGAACATCTCCAGGTGTTCTCGCTCAGTTATTCTTTACTGGTGAATTTTACTGCAATCGTGGCCCCTAAGAGGAAAATTTGTGATAGTGCTCATGGCAGTGGTGACGAGTGAGAAAAAGAAAAGTGCATACTGTGAGAACGTTTGAAGAAAGTGAAGATATTGAACTTAATTACGAGTGGTGTATCGAACTCTGAAGTTGCGCATTACTTACATTCGTATATATATACAGGGGGATCCGAATAGACACGAATTCACACTTACACGAACCCCCAGGAACATAACTCTCGTGTACTCGGAGATTCTATAAATGGAACCATTTAAACTGTGTTGCACAGTATACCACCAAAACAATTTGCAACAGTTTTCTGATAAATATGGCGGTAATACTGTACCGAGAAAAAGATCATACACCTCCATTGGCAAAATAAAGGTGTACACTTGCTATAAAAAGTAATATGCAAAATTTTTTGCTAGACAATATGATGTGGGGGGGTGGGATCCCATACTTGTGCGGAGGGGGGATGCGAGGCAAAAAAGTTTAAGAACCACTAGTCAAATGGCATCCAAAGTTCAATCAGTTTCACTGAATACTGTAGTTTGAAAGTTATTTGAAAATTTACCCCATTGGTCGCCACGTTCGCATCACGAGGCTGAGCGCAAGTTTTTTCGCCTTTTATGTTCGACGCCACAATGGCATCGTGCTAGGCTGAGAGGTATTCTGAGGTCAATAGGAATTTCTTTTTAATATACAAAAACACCCGAGCACAATATTGCATCATACCATTTACATTTGTGTTTAATGCTGCAGGACTGCATCTATGGTAAAATGTCTACAAAATGAGATTGGTCATTAAATTAAAAAAAAAATTACTTGGGTTTTTCAAAGTTAAAAAAAGACGCGCTATTTCTCATTTTAAAAATATTGACGCCCGTATTGTTAAATAACATCTTCCCTTGAAGAGGGTCGTTGTGTTTCAACCTGAGTTTTAAACCGAGTCCTGAGGGACACTACAATACTTAACGGGGTGGTGTGGCAGTAAAATTAACTACAGTAGTACCCCAATTTACGCGGTCAATTGAACCCACGGGGTACCGCGGAAAGTGAAAACCGCGTAAAGTGAACAACAGAACATATGGGATTAATTCCAATAGAGACTGGCCCGACCCCCAAACTCCACTTTTTCCGACACAATACCTATGTTGTAGTAAAAATAACCTCTTAATTTTATGATGGTATGCTCACATAATTGATATTTAAGAGAAATACAGTCACCAAGTTAATGTCCATTCAAATAATGGACTCAAATCCCCTCTTCCCAGCTCACTAGCTCCTACCTCTCTGATTAATGTTTGGGTGAAAACTCTAGATTTTAACGTTTAGTAATAAATAATACCTCAGACTAAAGTTAGGATAATATAATTAACATTTCTGGATTCCTTGCAGGTCAGGGAATATTTTGAATGTAAACTTCATATATTTTGCACAAAAGATAAAATATTTGCTTTGTGTACACCAAATTATTACATTAGATCTAAAATTTGTATGTCTAATTCAAAATCCATGATGTTTATATTCAAAATGATCATCATATTGTAAGAATTCCAGCAATGTAAATTATATTCTGATCGGTTAATAAATAATACCCCAGACTAAAGTTAGGATAATATAATTAACATTTCTGGATTCCTTGCAGGTCAGGGAATATTTTGAATGTAAACTTCATATATTTTGCACAAACGATAAAATATTTGCTTTGTGTAAACCATATTATTACATTAGATCTAAAATTTGTATAATGCAAAATCCATGGTGTATATTGAAAATGATCATCATATTGTGAGAATTCCAGCAATGTAAATTATATTCTGGCTGGGTAATTTGCATGAATTTTATGAGCTAAATAAAAAAAAAAAAATTATAATTCACCGTGTATATGAGTAGATGCACCGCGGAAAGTGAAAGTCCGATTCTGGCAAGGTACCGCGTAAATGAGAAATCGCGGAAAGTGAAACCGTGTAAAGCGGGGTAATACTGTACTGTAATTTCATTATTATAAATTAATTTTATTGGATTTGGTTAATTTTACCGCCACACCACCCTGTTAAGTACAGTACTGAGGTGTCCCTCGGGACTCATTTAGTTTAAAACTCGGGTTGAAACACGAAGACCCTCTTCAAGGGAAGATGTTTAATAATACGGGCGATAGAATTGTCACTTAAACTATGACTCCTATGCTTGTTTAGTTTTAGGTATGATTTGGAGCCTTGCAGAAAATTCCGCTATTCCCTATAGATTTAGTTCTTAGTACTGTACAAATGTTGTATACTGTAATTTTCAGTTTTGACATTAAAACTGGAATTTAATTTTACTGATGATAATAAAGAACTAATTTTAAGTTATAAATGGTAGCTAATATTTGTTTTACTAAAATTCAAAGGTGTTCAGATTTTATTTGCAAATGTTAAGTAAACTTTCTTCCCATCTTAGGGTGGGATAGAAGGGACCGAGTCTGCCGTGCCATTGACAGCCTATGTAGTGATCTCCCTTCTTGAGGCTGGGAATAATCCCTCTGATCCAGAGGTGTCTGAAGCTCTCCAGTGCCTTGGGGACAGCAAGACCACCATAAATGCCTACATTCTATCACTTAAGGCTTATGCTCTGGCTCTTGCCCATCATTCAGATGCACCACAGGTACTGCAGCAGCTTCTCAACCAGGCTGTGGTGCAAAGTAACTCTGTCTACTGGAAACTTCCACATGGACCAGGTATGTATTTTGCTATAGACTGAGTTTCTTGTGATACTGTGCACCTTCTATGCCCATTGCTGAATCTAATCTTAGTTGTACAGTCAACAAAAATTTTCTGCCCCTTTATGGTGTCATACAATATGACACACCGGACCAAGAATTCTGAGCAACGCTCATTTACGTGGGTGATTCCTGTTAATTTCTCTGTATTAACTAAGTGATATAAAAATACATCATACCGGTTGTACAATGCATCACACAACCAGAAATATCAACCTTGCCAAATTAACATGACCTCGGTCAGTGATCATTGCAGAAGCCATCAGACCAAAGGGTACAGAACATTTTTTTTTGCCGACTGTACCTTTCAGCTTCTTTGGTTTCTAGCCATTCTGAAGTTTAATTAGCTTTAGTATGGGCAAATTTCAGTTCTCTTAGGAGCCTTTTCTTTTGACTTTTTAGTCTTAAAACTAAAAACATTGTTATCATTGAAGTTTGATTTGCATAGCTTTTCAACTGTGACCTGCACAGTTACTAGATTCCTTTAACCACTTGCGTACGGGGGTCCTTTTTGAGCTGAATAATCGTCTGGCATTAGTCAAATTGAGTATCAAAAGTGGTGTCACTGTAGTGAAGGGCCTACTCCCCTTGGGTTATTATATCAAGTTTATGTGGATCTCTACTGCCCACAGCATAACCTAGAAATTTTAAAGAATGTATGTAATGTATATTGGGGTGGGGAATTGATTCAGGGATAATTTTTAAAATACTGTATTTCACATCACCAGTTACTTATCATTGACAGGAAGAGGCCTTGGCCTGGAAGTGGAAACTGCTGGATATGCTGTCCTGGCAATGGTAACCCTCGATGTAAACAAGTATCGCATACAGGCCAGGAAGGTGATAAAGTGGATCACTGCACAAAGAAATGGGAGAGGTGGCTTTTATTCAACACAGGTAAGCTCCAGTGTTGTACAATATAATATACAATGTATATGTACTGTGCTTTAGAATGTATGTTTTATTAAAGTGACTGCAGGCTATAACTGTCAGAAGTGTAGCATGATCTCATCTCCAGGACACTGTAGTGGCTCTGCAAGCTCTGGCTGTCTACGAGACATCCCAGCACCAGGGACCTCTGAATGTGAATGTGGCAGTAACTGCTGCTGGGTTACTCCACACTTTCAGCATAACAGAGTCCAATAAGCTCCTGCAGCAAACGATAGAGTTTCCCAGTCTCCCAACTATTGTGTCTGTTGATATGGAGGGTCAGGGCTGTGTTGTTTTGCAGGTAAGAAACTTGGTGAATAAGTTCATTTAAAAGACATTCCCACAGATCATTTTTAACTTATAAGTTAACTATGGCATCATCTCCCACAGGTTGTACTCCGATACAACATTCCTATCCCAGAGCAAGGCACTGCGTTTAGTCTCACTGTAAAGACGAGGACTGAGCCTGATGTGGCCTGTGTCACGAAAGTCATCACAGTTTGTGCTGGTTACCATCTTGCTGATGGCAGCTCCAACATGGCTGTTATTGAGGTCAACATGGTTTCTGGCTATATACCTATGAAAGTTGATCTTAACGAGGTCGTTAAGGAAAGTAATATTATAAAGAAATATGAGGTGGCCGGAAATCTTGTATCCTTGTACCTGGACGAGTTGACGGCCACCAAAACTTGCTTAGAGTTCCGCTTAGTACGTGATGTGGAAGTTGAGAATGTTAAACCAGGCACAGTGGTAGTGTTTGACTACTACCAGCCAGAATTCTCACTGAGCAAGGTAAACTATATATTGTATTGTTCATCAATATATTCTTATTAAACTACATATTTAAATGCACCAAGTAAGCCATAACAATTTTGCTAATAGTTTTTTCCCTCTCGCAGAGCTACAGCCTTCCACCTGCAGATGAGTGTAGATGATGTATCAGCTTGTATGCCACCACTACCTCAACAAAACTTAAATATGTCATGTGACCTGTGTTAGTATCGGATGCAACGGGCATGAAACTACCAATTCGGGTTCATTGTTAACTTATTAAATATTAATACTGTAACTTTCGTTTTTTGCTTCCTTGTCAAGTTATTGATCAACATTTTCCTTAAACAAGGGTACGGTTGCCAACAAATGTCCTGTTGCCTCTCCTGCAGCAGCTGTGGACTGAAGAATGCATCGGTGTCTACTGCTTCTGGTTCACGAATCTGAATCTCTGGTTTCGTGGAACAACAGAAGAGGCGACAGGACATTTATTGCCAACTGTACATATACTGTAGGATACTTAAAAGAGTGATTTGATAAAGCTAACCATTCCTTGTGCTTGCAAGACAGGAGTATTTGTAAAGTGCCACATAGAAAAATGGGAATCCTGAGGGTCAAGGATGAAAACCATAATGCTTGTACTGCACAGTGCAGACTTACAATATTGAACTTCTGGAAATAATTTAGATTTCTGAGGTTTCTTTTGAAATTTAGACATTGAAGCGATTCGCCAAATTCAGTTAAGCAATTCTGGCTCGTATAAAAAAATTTACTTCCCCATAGGTAATAATAATGTTTATTCAGTAAAATTGTCATACATGTTTGGAATTAGATAAGCATGTTTATAAAGTATGCAGTTACACAGTTCATCCCAAATATAGACAGATGTAGGCATACAGGCAATCCCCTGGTTACGAATGTCTGACTTCTGAACATCCGCCGATACAAACAAATTAAACTTAAAATTTACAGCATTTTGTTTACCTGTTGGAATAATCTGCCAGTGTGTGTTGTGACGGCACCGAGTGTGAGCTCTTTCAAGACCAGACTTGACGAGCACTGGAGCAGGTTCAGATACATTCAGGAGCCAGTGTATGCCCAGTACTTGCCAACAGTGCATAACAGAAACGTGACCGATCGCCCAAGTGGCTAACGAGTTGATCTGTGGCGAAGAGGATAAAAGGATGCCTGACAATTTTCTGAACTTTGGTTTCAACCTGAGGCTGTGACCTCTAGTGGGGCAGGCATCTGCTAGTTCCAGATATGAACACTTGCCTTGACTAATATCCTCAGAGATGCTTATAGACTTCTATTAAGTTCCCCCTCCCTTTCTCATTTATAGTACAGGGGCATTTTTATGTTCTAGATTCCTAAATGGTTACTATATTTTAGAACATGCTATAAACAAGGACCAAAAAATAGGTAGAAGTAGTTTGATCATATTAAAGAAATTTATCATCATTAGTGTGTCACACTAATTTCTTTGTCTATTTTTGCTGAAAAAAAAATAATAGAAATGCTGCCACTGTAGTGTCTTCAAATTGTTCCTTAACCTTTTTTATTTCTTGTATAGTTTGGGCAGTGCCATTAAAATTTTAACTCTGTACTTGTTTATCAATGTGGCCTATATCTATCCATTATTATTTTATCTCACTTTTTTTTTACTTCTCCTTTTTGCCACTGATCGGCTCGTTAGCCACTTGGGCAGTCGGTCACTTTTACTTTTATTTTTATCCTCTTCACCACTGATCGGCTCGTTAGCCGCTTGGGCGATCGGTCACGTCTCTGATACTTTTTTTTTTTTTTATCTGTTATGTACTGGCTCCTGAATGTATCTGAACTTGCTCCAGTGCTGGTCAAGTCTGGTCATGAAATGGCTTGCACTCTGTACCATCACAACATACACTGGCAGGTTGTTCCAAGAGTTCCCAACTCTCGCTCTGAAAAAGTTTGCCGTCAGTTTTCTCAACTTGCGACTTCAACCTAGAGCTGTGACCCCTTGTGGGGTGGGCGTCTGCCAGCTCCAGGTAGGACACTCGACTGAGTAGTGCCCTTTGAGATGTTTATACACTTCAATTAGGTCGTCCCTTGCCCGTCTGTAGTATAAGCTAAGCAGTTGCCGGGACTCTAATCTCTCTGGGTAGATTAGTTGCTGAAGTGCAGGCACCAGTCTGGTGGCCCTCTTGGTCATTTTCAATAAACTGACAGTCCCTAAGCATATCTTGGGGACCAGGCGGGGTGACATTACTCTAGGCTGGGAAGCACCTCACTCCTGAAGATCATTACGAGGGATGGACCATCTAGATATCTGAACGACCTTATAAAACGTAATTATAGTTGTTCGACTCGCCTTTCACAATAGCCCAAGAACTTCAGTTCATTGGCAACATACACACCAAGGTCCTTTTCGCATTGTCTCTATTGCAGTTTCTTTGTCCCGTTGGGACATGATACACCACCTTACCATTGGTATGGCCCAGGTGCATCCTCTTACGCTTCGTGATATTGAATCTTGGCAGCCATATCTTGGACCATTCTTGAAGCTTGTAGAGATCTTCTGCAGATCTTCAGTCTGTTTGGTTCTTAATTTCCCTTAATAACTTGGCATCGTCTGCAAACATTTGTTTGGAGGAGTATATAGCTTCTGGCATGCTATTTATGAAACCATCAAGCAACAATGGGCCCAACACACTGTAGAGTAGGCTATGTATGAGATCTCGCGCTAAGGATGGAGGTGAGAAGGGAAACTCACTATGGCGTTTTCTATAAATCTAATATATATATGTACAAATGCAGTGCTAGGGAGCTGCTGTGTGGTGAGGAGCTTGTTGAGAGGTCTTGTCTGAGAGTGTCGAGTAGAATCCTCTTCACGGTTGTTGTTGTTGAGATTGTCGGACCGTAGTCCGACACGGGCCTTTGCCTATAGGCGGCCCGTTTGGTGGTTCCGGCTGGTGCTCCAGGAGCAGCCAGACCGGATTGGGATTGGAGGTGGTCCCACCTGCAGATTGGAAGGATACTGCAGGTTGCAAGTGTGAGCGGACCCCGATCAGTGGACGCTTACCACCAACCCCCACTCTTGGACGTGGTCAGTTTCGGAGTGGCGCGCCCCCCGAACTGGGGTCCGCACTTGCTGGGAGAGGATACTTTCTAAGCTATCTGGGTGGTGGGTATCGTGTGATGACCTGGAGTAGGTGGTGAATGTGGTCTGTTTGGGCCTTTCGGGTTAGAGTGGCCGCTGGTGTTGTGTGTGTTTCTTGGGAGATTTGAGTTCTGTTTCGGAGGCTTTGTGTGACCTCGCAGTCGAGGAGATAGTGTTCAAGTGGGTTGGCTGCTGGCTCTTGGCAGTAGGTGCATTCCATGACATCATTTCCGATCATCTGCCAGGAGCACTTGTACCCTAGTCGTAGTCGATGAAGGCTGACTTGGGTTTGTCTTGGAGTTTTCTTGTCAGCGAAAGGTGGTTCCCCTTTTGTAGCCGCCAGGTACCATTTGGCTGATTGGGAACCAGCGTTGAATGCGTGAAGGAAGCTCTTTTTGATGTGGAGCTTGCTAGTCTTTCCGAGGTGATTCTTGATCTGTTGCACGCTTGCTGGAACTTGGATGTGTATGCTACTAGAACGTGTAGCTGCCTTGGCTGCTTCATCTGCCACGTCGTTTCCTCCGATCCCTACATGATTGGGAATCCAGTGTAAGACGACTGGGCGGTTTTGGCTTTGGAATTCCTGTAGCTGTGCGAGGATCGAGGTAATGATGTGGACGTTGTCTCTTGGTTGACTGTGTTGCAGCGCCTGCATGGCCGATTTCGAGTCCGTGTGAATTATGATGGACTTGTTGTGTTGTGTTGCAGCGTGTTGTAGGGCCTTTGAGATTGCTACCAGTTCTGTTTGTAGGGTGGAGCAGTCGTTGGAAAGTCTCCATTGGAGGGTCTGACCTTGGGTGTAGAAGGCCGCTCTGCATCTATGATGTTTTGGGTCCACTGAGCCGTCTGTGAAGTATGATGCTGCATCAGCCGGTGTCTCTGTGGCTATGGCTTCGAGAGTTATTTTTTTGAGGTCCTCTTTCTGGAGGTTGGCTTTACTATCGCCTAGGTCGGTAATTTTGAATGTGGCTGGTGGAGGGCTCCATGGTGGAGGAACAACGTAACCATTGTCTCGTGTGTCTTGGTTGTTCTTGACGAGTGTTTCTGCTTGCAGGTGTCGGATGACCTCGCTTGCCTCTTGCGACCAGGTGGCCCCTCGCACTCTGTGGTCGAGGTGGAGGGAGGCACTGATTCGAATTTTGGCAACTGTGGGCTTATCTGATCTACAGATTTTGGCGAGGAGACTGGCTGTCACCTGCTTGACTCGTACTGCCAGGGGTGGTAGTTCGGTTTCCATTTGCAAATTGCAAATTCTGGTCCACATGGGTGCTCCGAGCATGGTCCTGAGAGCATTATTTTGGATGACTTCTAGTTTGGCTATTTGGTCTTCTCTCAGTCCAATGAGTGCTGGAGCACTGTAATCTACCAGCGATCTGATGGCGGCCGTGTAGTAGGCTTTGAGCACATGAAGGTTTGCTCCTGCGGTTGTGCTGGTGAGCGACCTCATTATATTGTCTGCTCTTCGTCCTGTGCCTGAGATACTCGAGTTGCGGCTTGAAGGTGAGTTTCTGGTCAAACCAGATTCCAAGACACTGGTGGGTGTTGGTCCAGACTACCTGCGTGTTTTGTATGGAGAGCATCTTGTCTGGTGCGTCTGCAGATGGCCATTGCTTTCGACTTGGCTGGATTTATCTTGAGTCAAAGTCTGTTGCACTCCTCTTCTATAAGTTGGAGTGCGTGTTGGGTGTTGGCTTGTCTGTTTGATCCTCTTACTATAAGCTGTAAGTCGTCTGCATAGCATAGGAGCTTGGCTGTTTGTCTGAAAGGAAGTTTGACTAGATTTTCCATCAGGACATTGAACAGCATTGGACTGAGGATGCCTCCTTGTGGGGTTCCGTTTTCATGGACCCTGTAGCTTGAGATTGCTCCCTGAAAGCGTACTCTTGCTTCTCTCTGTGTGAGGTAGTTCTGGATCCACCCCAGCAACCTTCCTTTGACGCCTTTTTCAGCGAGCGTCGTTGTAATGGCCAGTGGATTTGCTAGTTCGAAGGCCTTCTCCAGGTCGAGGAAGACCACCAGAGCTGGTTTGTAGTCCACTGTGCTGAGTATCTCGGCGATGATGTTGCCTGTGCCGGTGTTCTCGGTGTAAAAAAAGATGTGAGGGTGTGGGCTGCCTACTTTCCACTTGAGTCAGTTGAGAGCCATTCTTTCTCTCGTCT